GCATAGAAACATATCAGTTAGGTATTTGAACATCTGTTATGCTGTTACATTATCCTGTTTTGCGTAAAGATGCTTGTGTGGAGTAATAAAACTGCCGATGTTTGTTAGTTAGCCAATAAACGTCGTATAAAAACAAACTTATTCTTGATACCTTTACTTATTATGGCGTTGTGCAACGGATACCTTCCTTATTTATCGCGAAAGTTCTTAAACTAAAAATATTTTGCTAAGTGAAGCAGAACTTTGAAGCTACTTGAATTATTTACGAGTATATTGAACTTGACATCGCTCAATATTTCTCTGTGTGTGTAGTGTTTTACGCCCGCGTGTACCTCTACCATTTATGCAGGTGCCCTACCGCCCCTGGTAATGGTAACAGGCCCTTAGACTGGTCGAGGTAGTGGGCTTAAATCGTTCAGACCGCTCGCGGCGAGGAAGCGCCCTGCGGATTAGACCGTCCTAGGCTACTAATGCCGTTGGGCAGCGCGCGTCCGCTAAGTATGTATGCCCGGCTCACGGCTCTGTGCCGGGCGGTAGATCCTGCTGCAAGGTGCTCTACAGATGGGAGTGGGGCGGATCGCACGGACCGCGTGACTAGAGGAGATAACGGCTCACGGCCAGACATTTATGGCAGAAGACAATCTGAAGCTGCTTAAGCTGCAAGCAGCTTCCAGTGCCGCAGGTTGTAGGCAAAGGGCTGGGGAAAAGTTAATGAGATGCGGCTAAACGAGTGATAAGTGTTTATCAAGGACACCAACCCAGCCACCAGCTACACATCTTTACCTACGTCTCTAGGTCTTTGGGTACGGTTTAACAACCTCTCCTGCACTGACACATTTTTGTAGACGATATCCAAGCCTTGTTTGAGAAAATTGTACCTGTGTTTGAAATGGCGTCAGGATTAATGTGAGAACATGAATTTTTAGCACACGCTCTCCGCTCCCTGCCTACCTATAGAAGATGCACCATCCCGTGACGGTGCTCCATAGAGTGGATGTTTATCTGCGATATGCAGCGTTGCTGTGGGTGTTATTAGTGGCAGACTCAATGCGCTCCTAATTATGTCCGTCTAGGGGCGCCGCTGCCTGACATGATGGCACCCGTTTTTGGCCGCGTATGCCCCTGTCCCTCCTGAAGGTGCCTCTATCCTTCCTGCCGCTACTTGAAGCGCCCCTGGCTGACCTGATGGCGCCGTGTCGGCCCTGGAGGCACCTCTGCCTGACCTGACGACGCTCTGCCTTACCTGATGGCGCCCCCTTTTGGCCCTTCCGTGCCCCTGTCTCTCCTGAAGGTGCCTCTATCCTTCTTTTCGCTCCTGGAGCGCCCCTGCCGCTCCTGGAGGCGCCTCTGATCGTCGCCGCCGACGCGACACAACACCTTGTTACGGGAGCGACGGCAGACAGTTTGCAAACTCGCCTCGCTGGCTCGTTACCGAAAAGTAGTGAGCTGGCCGGCGACGGCGACGGCGGCCCGATCGATTCGGTCCCGCACATCTGAGGTCTGCTGACACTTTGACACGACATTTAAGGTCCCTGAGGTCTGCTGACTCTTTGACACGACATTTTGAGGTTCCTGAGGTCCACTGACTCTCAGTCTATGACATGACATTTGAGGTCCTTGAGGTGTGCCGACATTTTGACATGAAATTTGAGATGCGTGGACATCCAGACATGACATTTGGGATCTCTGAGATACCCTGGTACTCGACACAACATTTGAGGTCGGCAGACACTCCTGACATACGGACCAATGCTGTCAACCTTCGGTCGATGAAGTCAGGTCTAGTAACGGGAAGTTCTTAGTCCATGAATTCAGCACAGCTCTTCAGCCCTGGAATAGACACAACCCGTGTCTCTTGGTGCCTGGACTGGGCACATGCTCATGGTTGGTATTGACGGTCCTCCAAACCTGGAGCGGCCGACCTCTCCGTGGCGTGCTGGCATCTGTGTAAAGAAGACGTTTAGCACATGAAACCGATCGACGTTGACGAGCGATGCTAACGATGGCTTCCTGTGTGTTTCAGTGAGTTTTCTGGAGATTCTGAGCTCGGTGGAAGCCTCTTTATGCTGTGTTCTGTAGCAAGTCGAGCCATAATTGCACATTTTTCACCTCTTTCAGCTCAGCCGTTTCCCGTCCTGCGGTCATGCAGCGGGCGTCTGCTCTAAGACGCGGTGCTCCCGGCCGCTCTCTGTCCGTACACCGTCTCTGTGATCCTCTGATGCAGGTTATCGCGGCCGGCAACGGGGCCGAGCGGCTCCCTATTTATCGAGATAGTTGGGCCGATGTTGGATGTTTATTGAACAAATAGAGCCGGTCCGGGCATCGATTGGGTCCGCGCGGCGGCCGGCCGGCCGGTCTGCCTCCGACTGCAGCGCGCGGAGGGAGGGCCGGGCGGAGCCGGGCATCGGCGGCGGCGAAACAAGTGGGGAAAACTGTCCACAGACGCCACAGTGCACAGCACACAGCAGTTCAGTCACAGAGACTGCAGCGCAATGGGCAGATGTGCAATAACAGTGCACATAAACAGCCGATGGGGGGTCGAAGTGGATTTCATCAGCCGTGCGATTCCTGTAGTTTATATCGACATTTTTGCTCAGTGAAATAAAAATGCATGTGCCATGCATTTATCCTTTCTATATTTAACCAGATGGCCATGTTCTGGGTAAAATTTTCGCCGTGGCTAAATATTTTCACGGGTGCATTTTAACTCACCAGCAGCAAATCGAACCGCCACTATGTATGACTTCATAATTCACAATTATTTTCTAGCTTATGCGCATGTTATATTCTGGTGTGCAATAAAAGTAGGCTTTCAACCTCAGTTAGAGCTTTTATTCGTTGTGACATCTGCATAGCCACTCTGCACCTTGTCATAAAATGCTTCCTAACGTTCCTAACCTCCTTGGCGACAAAGTGACAGTCCGCGCTCCACACGGTCTTAGGTCGCCGCCGTATTATGGAAATGAATCCGGTGTATTATAAGAATGTTCACCGCATATGTTTTTTAAATTATTTATTACCAGACTAGACCTCTGAAATGTGCTGACGTAATGACTGTAGAAGATGTAGCAACCAAATGCAACATTGTTTGCGGTGACGGGCCTACACAAGTTCGCAATAACGAAATTCTGCTTCCATACATCACAAGCTGCATATCATACACATGAGCTATGCATAAATGCAAAATATGTAAGATAGGTATAGTTATGTAGGTATATGTAAATGTTATCACACTGTAACTATTCTGCTTGATCTACGATCGAACACTTTGCTTGGCAGACCTTGATTCTTTTTTTGCGTGACCTCAGCACCGTTTGTTACTTCTAGTGACCCAATAACGATACGAATTCAGTCGGCCATGCGGAGACCGTCAGCCCTTGACCTCAGTAGTCAGTATGCTCGCTTACGACCTTTCGTTTAGGTCGCCACTTTCGGCTGGCAATCGTTCGACCGAACGGGAAATGTTTAAATTAGAAAATAGGCTGCAGGTAGACTTTTGATTATTTAAGAAAGCAAAATTCCAATCTTGCACATTCGCGCGGCCTCAAATATAGGTAGGTAGTCGTATTTTAAATAGACGGGCATCTGACTTGCTCCGCATGGTTTACAACGCGGCTCTCTGTGCTATTTCTGTGAATTTCCTACGCGGAAGTAGTTTCGCTGCAATCAGCCGCTCTCGAGAATTAAACTCGCTCGGCAGGCTATATAAGTTGTGAATTAAATAAGATTAGATAGATTTAGATTAAATGATAGCGGCGCGTCGCAAAATGGCGGCGCTGGGGTCGGGTCGCTCCCCCCGGCACCGCACCTACATGCCAAGCACTTCCCAGAATCCAGATAGCCATGGAGATGATTCGGCTCCACTATTGTGCGCTCACATTCACTTTCCAAGTATATGCGGCTGACGGGCGATGACGCGCTACGTCCGAACATTTTGCTCACACCCCTCCCCGCCCCACCCGTCCATTTTGGCGCATGCAGCATATCGAGCGCACACGTTGGCGGTGGGTTTTTGCGTGCGATATTTGTTTGACCGGTGCTGCGGTGCGGGCCGGGTGGTGAGCCCCGCGGCGGGCCGCCTGTGCGGACCGACCCGCCGGACCTCTGAGAGCGCATTTGTGTGTCGCGGGTCAGTTACATGCGAGAGCTGCTGCTGCATTATGCATCAGCGTTGCTGTGCGTACCTCGGCCGGCGGCGCCGGCGCGACAGGGACCGGCGGCGGGGGCGTCCGAGCGCCGCCGCGTGTTGATACCCGGTATGTTTAATGCATAGCTGCATGTCGTTATGTATTTTTGCGGCTGACAGCCCATAAATATGCACTCAAATGCGGTGCACTCAGACTGTTATAAATAATCGTAGAATACCAATGGTCTGCGGCCGAGAGCTGGCGTATAACGATTGATTCTGTCACCGTGACTCGGGTTAGAGACAGATTTACCAGCGTGATGACAGAATCCCATCTATTGCATCAGCTGGTAAGTGCCGGGTTATGTGGCATATCATTCCCGCCGCCTGATGTCCATATATTACCGAAGAGGCGCTAAGTGCCATCTCCGGCTCCATTGGCAAACGTTGGACTTTCCCGATGACGTCAGGGCTTTCTCCAACCTGGGTGGTACCTATTCAGTTTCCAATGTGGTGTGCCAATAGTGACATATCGGTAAGCCCCATGAATCGATTGCTAAGATATGACTTGTCATGCACTTCCTAACACATCCATGGGCCATTGCGTATATGTCGAAGAAAGAGACGCTAATGGATAGTGTGTTTCACGATCTGCAGATGCCATGACCCATGGGCGCCAATTTACTCATTTGAACGGTTTAAATGAACAGTCTCCCTGCCCATAGACCGCATTTTCGCCACTCTGACCGTTTCTTAACCAACAGATCGTGGCTCTGACCGTTGTCCATAAGACCGTATGACCACGGCTCGGACCGTTTCCCGTTATATGCCGTATGTAGTCCGCAACTCTGACCGTCCTCTCCCTGTGTTTCAGAGCCGACGTTCCAGCACCAGCTGCAGCAGGCGTGGCAGAAGTCGTGGAACCAGCAGCAGAGCCTGCTGCAGAACCTGCGCTTCAGAGAGCGCGGCCCGCTGAAGTCGTGGCGGCCCGAGACCATGGCCGCCGCCATCATGTCCGTACTCAGGGAGGGTGAGTACTGCATAAGCACTGGATAGTGTAGGTACGGTGATGATGATGATGATGATTGGGTTTGATGGCGTGCCCAACCTCTGAGGATATGACGCCAGAAGTAGTGTAGGTACGGGCCGTAATTACGTCCGTATACGGGAAGGGTATAAGTACTGAATGCTGCTGGGACTATCATGTCCTTACTGCTTAGAGAGGGCAAGTACAAAATACTGGACGGGCCATCAATCCAACTGCCCTCAGGGAGGGGAATGTGCTAGCTGCTAAGCATGGACGGATAAAGTATTACTCCCACTTAGAGCGGAATAAGTGCCAATTCAGTCGTTATCAAGCGCTCCCCTTTAGTCGAATCACCTCGGAAAGGCCACATCATGTGACAATTGTAGTCTATTCCCAGTAAATTATTAGCTGGCGCGTCCACTTGTCTATCAATGACCGACAAGTGTGTCCGTGTGGCCTCATCTGCGCGTGGTCACCGCGCCGGTGCCGGCTGCTATGTCGCGCCGGTGTGTTTCGGGCACCTGTGGGTATAAAGGGCGGTGGAGGTGGGCTGTCTACCTCACCATGGGTGCAGGCATACCCTCTATGAGCATGTCGTTTATGGAAGCACGTTCTTTCTCTCGGGTGGCTGTCGGACGCGCCATGATAGTGGTGCCCTTTCGGGTCATTGCTGGTGCCCTAACGGGTGGCTGCAGGTACCGTTTTCTGTGGCTGCAAGAACAGGTGCAATCTATGGTATCTGCCCGACGCTCCATGGCACTATAGGTGTCCTCTCGAGTGTCAGTAGTCGTGTTGCCACCCTGCACCGCCGACCGGGTGGCATACATATTAAGCGGAATAAATCTTCACGTGGCTTACAATTATCTCTGGACATTGGGCAAGGGCATGCAAGATGGATGGGCCTGAGACACGAATGGACGATGTTCTGTTTTTGATAGCGAATTCCATTGCACAAACTGTTGCTGATGCTTCAGCGACGATATTGTTGTTTTGTTACGATTTGTGGTTAAGCACAGTCTAGCGTCGGTCAAGTTTTATTACGGTCAATATTCCCCCATCGAATACGAGACCTATGCATTCGTGACTTGATAAGCATAAACAGTGCATGGGTTTTTGTTTCATAAAATAGTTGATTTACCTACACCTGGACGTTATATAAGCAAGCATTTTGAACTGGAGAACTCGAGATATCGTGTGCTGGAACGGTCGGAATGCCACCATCGGAACAACCGTCCAGTTCAGCCTGTCACTGTTTCTGTCGAGTTTGTCCTCTTTCCAATCAGACCCCGACCGACAGGCAGCCTCTGAATCATCCCTGGTCACTGGTGACCGCTAGTGAGCCCCGACCTTCTGGGAGCTGACCTGCGGGTGACCGGTGACCTGTGCCTGTGACACGGCATTGACCGGGCACATGACTCTGGCTGGTGACTCACCGATCCAACGCCGACCGGTGACACCCATGTGACCCTGTGACCTGCTGGTGACCTCGAACTAACCGATGACCTCCCTATGTTTCAGGCCACAGTCTGTCGCAGGCGGCACGCACGTACGACATCCCGTACCCGACGTTCGTCCTGTACGCCAATCGGGTGCACAACCTGCTGGGGCCGTCCCAGGAGGGACCCGGCGGCATCCCTAACGGTGAGTGAGCCTGGCCTGCGCACCGGCGACTGGCATAACATCGCTGAGGTCTGCACTTAACTTAACTTTGTGACTTTTCCTTCTTGGTGTGATTAAAAGCATAGTCACTTCCTGACAGCATATGCGTAATGTATGTGACATGGTAACATACCCTGTATGTAATACGTGAAGACGCTCAAACCGCCCTAACATGACAAGAGCTGCCTCTTTCGACAAAATGTTATGTCGGCACAGCTGGTGGCTTTTAGCTGTCCCCTGTCCAGTAGTGTGTCCTGACGCCATTTTTCGGTACATTTGCAACAGATACCCGTTATATTTCTGACATGTGCCTTGTTATCCTTAAAAAACCGTGGCAGTAACTGCAGATTTTCCCCCCAGTGGCATATAGGGGTATAAATGAGCAGTTGACAGTTGGCGGTAGGAAGGAGCGATGGGTAGAATGGGCAGTGGGCGGTAGGCGCAGAGAGTGACAGGCATACATACGATGAGTGAGCCCTGCTGTACCCATCAGTCACCAGACGGTGTCAAATGCTGCCGTTTCGCTGTCTCAGTGCCGGAGTCAGCCCCGTCTCCGCCCGGGTTTCCGCTGCAGCAGTCTGGCGCGGCTGCAGGTCACATTCCTCCGCTCCTATCTTTTTGCCGCGGCTGCAGTTCATTATTTGTGTTGTTTTTCTCGGCGGCATTATTTATAGCCGGTGTGAGCGCGCGGCTGCTGCCGGCTAGGCATGTCAGCAATCGCGGCCCGGTGCTGCAGTCTGCTGTGGGCGCCCTCCCCCTGTCTCCACACCGAGCTGTGGGTCCCGCCCGGGTGGGCCGCGGGAGGAAAGAGCAAAGAAAGGTCGTGTGCCGACTTGTTTGTGTCCGTGTCTGGGCTCGAGGTGAAATGATACCGCACAGTGATACCGTGGGAGATATTATCTCAGAGTGTCTGGTTACCGTGCCGGTGACACGAGCACGGTATGGGGACCCGTGTATCCGTGCAGCTCAACACACTGTGCATGGCTCAATACAGCGAGGAGTGCTGTAATATTTGCGTCTCTTGCCTCTTCGTTTCTAGTTGGTATGTGAATGTTCGGCATGCTGTAACCGTTATATTAGTCTTAATTTCGCTTCATTGTGAAAAGTGACGGCAGATACCCGGTGGCTTGGTGAGTATGTGTGCCGCATTCAAAGCATTACTGAATGGAAACATAGGTGATCTTTCATTATATTTCTTAGTGAGAAGCCGGAAGCGTTAGATTTAGTTTGACCTTTTTAATTACCAACGCTTGGTCGGAAGGCCAACCGTGCTTAGCGGCATGCGACATAACAGGGTCAGTAGTGACGGATATTAGTACTTTCAGTTGATGGAAAAATAGCACGACACGGAAGTCACTGTGCGGTCCTGCAGACGTGCTCGAGCGCCTACGGGAACCGCCATTCTGTCCAACTGTAGGTACGCCCCAGTAAACCGGAGTCGCCAGCCCGTCCAACTTGACGGCATATAGCCCGGTGTGCTCGCCGCTCGCTCGACGCTTGCCCGCCGCCCGGGGCGCTGCCGTTCTGTGTATAAATATCCCCGTACTGGCCGTTATGAGGCGACACTCGTCAGAAAATGACTCTCGTGAAGCCGCCGCTCTGACGCAATCAGACCGACTGAGGCTGCTGGGAGCAACAGGTTCGGTTCGGAGCGTACTCGACGGATGAACGGAGCGTCCAACCGACCAGCTCCGCCCAGCACCACATCGGCTCACCGACCGGGCCGAGGCGCTATGACCGGCAGTAATATATTTTGAAATGTAATTAACGTGGCTCGCAGTGCCGGGCTGCGGTGTATTTCTGGTGGCGAGCTGAGGCTGGATGATGGGCCGGGACCGTGCACCGGGGGCGGGCCGCTGCAGCTACTGTGCGCTGTGCACGGCCCCCCAGCTGACCGGTGCAGGTGACGTATGGCCCCGCCCAGCCGGCACTTCATCCCGTGGGCTTATAGGGTCCGGCTGATCGGTCGAGTGGAATCTCGTAGTTGCACAATACCTTATGTATTTAATGGAGCCTAAGTGCAATCTTGTGTTCCTAGACATAATAAGCATTGCACTTGAAGTTCGGAAACATAGCTTCTAAAATGGTGGCTGTAATACTATAGGTAAGCATGCCAAAATGAAATAAATATATCGAATAGAAGTTCTATAAAAACATATCGTAGCCAGTCCACGGCGCGGAATTGCATTAGCTTGATATACTGAAGATGTGTGTGCTGCTTTTACCGGCCCGCCTGTCAGAATGTTATTGAGTGCTGTTTTTGTGCGTCCCTTATTTCAGAACAGTGTCTAATGTTTTCTTGTATGTAATGTCCTCATTGATATGCACATAGCTGATGTTGGCCGCTCCCAAATGGTCCTTGACATCTCCTGCGTTGGCTCTCAGAGCGTTAGTTTATTGAATATATCGTTATTATGCGCATAATTTGGGCAGTATCCTGATCAGGTCGATACATGCCATCAGGACACCGTTAGTGCTGCGTGGTATGGACGGATGGGCCCTCCCGCGTTAGTGCCATACGATGTCGCAGCACGACTCCCGCGACGGTGGCCGTATCGGAAATATCGTTTTCCTTGCACTGGCCAAAACCGTTATAATAGGTTGGACACTGGGGAGATCAGCATGGGTGGGCTGGGTGATCCGTGCCACTGGTGGTGGGTCTGGGTTGGTGGTCGTGGTTTGGAATAGCTTGACAGGCCATTATATTCAATGTTTTTGTCTTATATGTGTAGGTATATGCTGGTACCAATCTCTCGCATTGTTCCACCCCCTATATCCCTGAGCGCTGCTCAGTTGACCGATGTCCACCTGTCTCTGATTGTCTCCGTCTCCCATTTTCAGAGCTGCGACCGAAGGGCCGCGGCCGGCCGCAGCGGATCCTGCTCGGAGTCTGGCCCGAGGAGACGGTCAACAACGTGATCCGCGCTGTCGTGTTCAGGGACACCTCCGGACTGAAGGAGCAGATGGAGAGCAAGGCGGCGGCCGTGGCAGCCGCGGCCGCAGCGGCCGGACACGGAATCCAGGTGAGGGAGGGAGAGACGGACAGTGTTTGTAGGTGAGAGAAGTGAGGTGAAGTTAGGCAGGTGAGATGAGATTATTGAGAGATTGAAACGGTATGCAGGTGAGATTGGTGAGAGACGGACACGGTTAAATGATGGAAGGACGGGCTTAGTCTGGATGTGAGGGATTGCCACTCGTTGCTGAACTGAAATACTCGCGCAGTTTTACGCAGAAGTTGGATTTTGGTCCTCAGACATTTTACCATCATTGTCATCTGATGAGTTAGTTATGACTGTAAATTGCTTAAAATAGCTAGAGTGCCCTTTCTGTCAAAGATTCATGCAGTCATTACGCTTTGCTATTCGTTAGAGCACGTTGCGGGCCCAATGCCACCTGCCAGGCCACAGACATCGGTGGACACAAAGTGAGGCGTGTCTGTGACAAAAACGGCGCACTGCCAGCCGTCCTGGGCGGATTAAATATAGCGGAATGTCGTGTCCGCGCGCCCGAGACCGGGGTGCAGCACTTTCCTTATACGGCCTCCAACGGAAAGAATAGGGAACATGCGCCATGCCTGAACACGAAACGGCAGCTTCGGTACACCATTTTATCGGCGCTAACGGTAGCGCCTGTCACGCGACTCCCGGTATTGCAGACGAAGTAATCCGCCCAGACATTGGTGGCATTCTTTACCTCTCGATCGGTATGCGGTTTGGGTGCTGCGACCAGCCATCACAGAGGCTGAAAGAGACGTGGCTCGACACTTTTCGTTAGCATGTAGCGGAGTGTGAGTGCTGACGACTGTGTGTGTTCTCTGTGGACAGGACATGCCGGCCTCGCTGACGAAGCTGATGCAGCAGCACCAGCAGCAGCAGCAGCAGTCGCCTCACACTCCGACCGGGCCCCCTCAGCCGCACATGAACGGCCGGCCGCCGTTCCGGATGCAGGCAGCGCCGCCTATGCCGCCGCGTGTCGGCGGGCCCCCGATGGCCGGCGGCGGCGGGGGCGGCCGCGGCGGGGCGCCCTCGGGCCTGCCGCACCCGGCCGCCGCCGGCGCCCGCCACCGGCCGCCCAACCTGCTCGGCTTTCCCGACATGCATATGATGATGGGCATGTTTCCGCCCGGCATGCTCTCGGCCACCGGCGGAGTGCCGCAGATGAACTGTGAGTGGGGTCGTGAGGCCGTCCGGGGGACTGGGACGGGACCGGCGGACTGGGGTGAAAGGACGGGTTGAGCGAGGTGCTTGGGGATGTGGATTCGGTTAAGGGATGTGGACTAGAGTAACAATAAGGGGTAGCTGGATGTGGCTGATGGAAGCCTGCGAACGGAAAGACCATGCAGACTATCTCTCCAGTTCATGCAGTCTGACGTAGCTTTCTGCCGACAATTTTGCGTCTGTCGTGACCCATATGAGGTCTCATCGGTATGTAAAATGTCAGTTTTGTTTACAAGCTGCGCCTGCGCGCCGTGATCTGCGTGGCCCGGTATCAGCGCTCACTCTGATTCCCGCCAGTGACATTAATACCTCTCCCTCGCCAGTGCCACCGCTGCTCGACCAGAAGCCACCGGTGGGCGTGGGCACCTCGGCGGGCCCCTCGCCGCCGACCCGGCCCGTGCCCGGCCTGTCGTCGATCGCCGGCGGCGCGGCCCGCTCGGACAGCTGCGACACGGACCCGGCCGGCGAGAACAGCAACACGAGCGGCGGCGGCGGCGGTCCCGAGCCGTGTCTGCTGGAGCCGCTGCAGGAGATGACAGAGGGCGACGAGCCGCTCCAGGTGCGGCGGGACCTCGACAGCCCGGCCGCAGAGGGAGCGGACAGCCCGGCCCAGACGCACCGGTCCACACCCGACTCGGCACCGCCCGCCAAACGAATCAAGGTACCTACTCGAACGGTGACCGGTTTTAGATGCGCGCGCTGTCTGGGCGAGGCGGTTTTTGGGAGGCCGTGGCGGTTTTTGCGGCGCTACCGGTCCCCGGTCGGACCGGTGTGGCCGGTACATTGAGCACGAATCGTGCTAAATTTGTGCTGTGATTGGCGTCTCGACCGTCAATGACATTCGTTTTTATGATATTTGTCGGTGCTGTATAGTAGATTTGCTTTAATGTTACATTCATGTAGGCATCGGTTAAGTTTCTTATAAGGTGATAGGTCCCCTTGGTTTGCTATCCCAACTTCCTATTTTCATAGGTGGGGAAAAGCCATGGACGTTAGGCCTTGTAAACATCTTGTAAAGCTATGAAGTTTGTGTATACTGTATAACCCTCGCAGGAGTTAGTTCTGCTCCTGCGTAACCATGGTATAAATGATGCTAAGAGAATCGATTAGCGCGAAATGTTTCGGTTCACATTGGTACCTTGTCGACTATCGGCTGATATGACCTAGTGTAAATATCCAGTCGTACCTACCTGCCTCTAATAACTCATGGCTGACCGCTTACTCCAAACTGCTGACTGGACTGACTTCCAGGTTTTGACTGACTACTTGACTACTCTCTGGACAGCACCTGGGTTATGTCTGACATATTCCTTGATCAGTGGCTTTTACCTCCCACTGACTTCAAACGGCGCCTGATGGTCACACCACGAGCACGCTATCCACCCACCCGAACACGTCGAGACCCACTTGGCCACCCTCCCTGTTTGACCCGGCCCCCCTCACCCCTTTCAGCAGGATATGCACGGCTACCCGGGAATGCCGCCGTTCCGGATGCAGGCAGCGCCGCCTATGCCGCCGCGCGTCGGCGGACCCCCGATGGCCGGCGGCGGCGGGGGCGGCCGCGGCGGGGCGCCCTCGGGCCTGCCGCACCCGGCCGCCGCCGGCGCCCGCCACCGGCCGCCCAGCCTGCTCGGCTTTCCCGACATGCACATGATGATGGGCATGTTTCCGCCCGGCATGCTCTCGGCCACCGGCGCCGTACCCACCATCAACCGTAAGTGGGACGCTCTCTATGCTCAGTGACGTCTCTTTGAGTTGACCCAAGATTACTGAGTTGACCCGCACAGATTCATTTCAATAGCAGAAACGGTGCCGCACGATATGGCATACTGGCAAAGTTCACTGTCTTCTTATTTGAATGCTCGATTTCGTACGTTTTGTGTGTTTGCTGTTCAGGTAAAGAGCATCCCTCGCTCGGTAAGAAGTCTTCAGAACGTTGCCAAATGCCAATTGAATAGTTGACCTGACTCTATCGATTTAGGCTTCTTAGAATGTGAATAATCGATTTCTCGTTTCGCATTTGTGCGGCTATCGCATACCCCTCCCGCGTAATATTTGACCCGCGGCCGCGGCCAGCTGACCCTGACACCGTGCTTTGTTCCGCAGTGCCTCCGCTGGTCGACCAGAAGCCGACCGTGACCAAGACCGAGGCGCCGTCCCCGAGTCTGCCTGAGGTCACCATATCATCCGTCCCGATCCGGTCATCCCCCAACGACACAACACCAACCCCGCCGTTTTTGAACGGCCCCCAGTCGTGTGCCACCTCCAACGGACCTCCGTCCGCGCCCGGCGGTACCCCAGCCGAGTCCAACGGAGGCCTGGGCCGCTCGGACAGCTGCGACACGGACCCGGCCGGCGAGAACAGCAACACGAGCGGCGGCGGCGGCGGCGGTCCCGAGCCGTGTCTGCTGGAGCCGCTGCAGGAGATGACAGAGGGCGACGAGCCGCTCCAGGTGCGGCGGGACCTCGACAGCCCGGGCGCGGAGGGAGCCGACGGGCTGGGTGGCACGTTTGGCACGGCTGAAGAGATCGGAGCGGCCTTCACCAAACAGATGCAGGTAGGGCGCGGGGAACTAACTAGTGATGCATAGATGTAATGGAGCTTGTCATTGTGCACGATACTGGGTGCAGAATGCCTATGGACATCTACAGAATGCCTATGGATGGCCTTGTGGACACTCCCTGATACATGAACATGGACATACACCGGCATTCTCGCTCTATGGTTCAATCAGAACACCATGTTAAGCCTGAAACAGACTCTTTCCGCAGTCAGGAAATCGCATGCGAGAGCCTATTCAAATACATGGAAGCACGCTCGCATCAATCGCACGCACCTCCCGCAAGCGATTGATGCGAGAAGAATTACAATGTATTTGAATAGGCTCTCGCATGCGATTTCCTGAACGCGGAAAGAGTCTGTTTCAGCCTTTAGAATACATATTACACAGAAGGGCCGCAGCATAACTTGTCAATAACAGTGTTTGGCGTTTGCTCCACAGGGGGTAACCATGTACCCGGTGCCCTCGAGCGGTGACCAGTCGGCGGACCAGCGGACCGGACCAGGGACCGGGACCGACGGGTACCCCGCGGACCAACAGACGCCGGCGGAGCGGCCGGCGGGCGCACAGGACGTGCACGGATCGCTGGCGGCCCCGGCGGCCGCGCTGCGCGCCATGCCCTGAACGCGGCGCGACTGTGACAGGCAGCGGCGCACCGGAGACTAGCAGACTGGTCGACGAACGGTGCGCGCGACCAGCCGCAGCAGCACAGCTAGGACGATGGAGGTAAACTGGAGACGATCGTAACGCATTGGAGACGATCGCGGCGCGTTGGAGACGATCGCGCAACTACCACTAGGCTTTAACAGGCGAGACGGCCGGCCCGAGCGGCCGCCGGCTCGCAGAGGCGGATGCACATCCCGGAATGTATGCGATTCAGAGGCCTTATCGGTTCGGAGGGGGGAACACTGAGGCGGACGGACGGACGGACGGTATCACACCTGCGCGCGCGGGCCCCGCACTCTGTCTCTCACGGTGTTCGTGCCATTGACAGATACCTCATGTGTAGCCCCGAACGGTAGCGAACGTAGCTGGCAGACCGGCCGGGTGGCCCGTTGTTGTATCCGTTGTCATTTTCTACTCGGCGGTCTGCTGATCTCAGGCTATAAGTCGAACAATATGCCAAAGAGGCGGATTCTGAGGCGGCGGCTATGCTGTCGTGCCGGGGCCGGCCGCATGAGGTCCTCCTTCACGGCTGACCACCGGCCACGAGGTCAGAGGCTGTCGCCATGGCGCTCTGCTCGCTACAGGCCGGCGAGAGCGAGCGCAGCAGTTGGTTCCTAGTTCGGCTTCCCACCCGTTGTCGTGGCGCCATACCGGGCGGCTGGACCCCGCCCGGGTCTGGGGGCGTTCACCGCCTCCTCTCCGCGCCGGTACCCAACGCCGGGGCCGGCTGAGTGACCCGGGCCGGGCGGCCGGGTCGTCTGAGCTAACAGTCCGTGTACGAGGGGTGGCGGAGCGGCTCTGTCTCTGCCCCTGTGACTCGCGCGTGGCCCCACTGGGCGCGCACCAGGCCAGTTGAGTGCCCGCCCGGCGCCGCGCCGGTCGGCCCGCGTCAGAGCGGGCTGTTCGCAGCTGATGCGGCGACTGTTGAGGCCGCGCAGGCCACTCTGAGTCCGAGAGCAGGACGCTTTTGTATTAAGTGCATGAAATATTTTAGTTTGCGTCTGTTGTCTTTTGTTGTCTTGATTTCTAGGTATGAATCTAATACCCAGAGGCAGGAATGTGTATTCGTCAATGATCTGCTTCATGTATTTGCACATTCTCTTTTTGCTTTGTCTCCAAACTCTTGTCAAAAACATAGTAGAACGCGTCAAGCTATTGTTGCAATGCACGTTCTTATCGTTAACCCATGTTGCTGAATGAACTGATCTGACGAATTATAGTTCGAAGTATTATAATAAAGGTAAAATGTTCGACCGAATTCCTTATTATAATTGAATTTGAGCAGTTTGTTTTTCTATTAGAATATATCACCACAGACAACCTTCCCGTGTAAATAGGCACAGTCTATGTGAAAGGCGCTGATAAACTGAGAGCTCGTATCTACTGTATTTGTAATCTTGTACAATCTGGAACGTGAATACATGTATAAGTGAACACCCGTCTTTTCCCATGCCCATTAAAGAAGTTTAGGGTGTGTAGTGAAACTCGAGGCAGTTCAAAGAAAAAGGTTGTTGCCAGGCGCATGGAAGTTGGGAGAGGTGTGCAGACGGAACGCCGGCTTGTCGGGATGGCAGTGGAAGTGGGGATCTCACTTCTACTGGATGTCACAGGTGGATCTAGTCTCCATTCATGTTAACCTCCATCGCCGAGCGTCAGAAAAGCTTCACACCTGAGCACATGTTTGCCAACGAGACACGTATTGGTAAAGAACCTTTCCGAGAATTGAAGGGGAAAGCTGCTCTGAAAACCCAATCCATCATGCCAAACAATAGATAATACCGTAGCAACTGATGGATAGCTCAGCACAGCCCATCGTCCTACCCAGCAACAAGGCTGCCGTACGCGGTGAGGAACGCTGGATATCACGGCAAGCATGTAGCTAGCATGATAACTGACTTGATACCCACTGACCCACCGTCGTACAGGCATATCGACTGGCCTAAACCAGTAAAGTTGCAAATAAAGATCACATACCATGTGTATGGGCATTACATTCTACACTGACATATAACATTACGGTCGCATAGATGCAGAATGAAGATAGCATGTCATTGACAACGGCTCAGCCCCGGCCAGGTCCCCATAAATATTACTCATTGATCATTTCACATGCATACATGTGAAATGATTAATGTATATTCCGCACATGCGACATCCGAACATGTAAACGCCGGCAGACTCTTACAAACGCATTACGTTACATATTACCAAGAAGATTTGCCCCCCCCCCCCTTGGGCGACGCACGGCGGCCTCGGCGGGTTCATCCACTGAACTCTGAGACAGGGAGCCGTCTCTCCTCCACTCCTCTCCAATCCCTCCCTCCGGGTTGGCTAATTCTGCACGTGTAAAGCTTCAATCTTTCGAAGCGTCATGCATGTCTACACAGAATCGGCGTGGTGAAACATCGACAAGTACGGTTCGGACTGCTGCGTCAATACAGTTTGTGCATTATCACTCGCCCTGGTAAATCTCATCGTGTTTTATTGGTGGTCCCTGGAGGCAAAACCACTCTTCTCTTGGACGTTACCACAGGCGCCACAGGACACGCCTGCGACGCCCAGTGAACAGCAAACGACTAGTCCATCACAATGGCTCTCGCGTCACGCCACGGCCAGAGCTTTGATGGCAGTGAGCAGCGAGAATGAGGGAATGATAAGTTGACTGACGAGGGCTCATATGAATTGAGTCTATTCAACTGACACATCGCGAGCGCACCTTGCGCTCAACGCCGCCTTGAACTTCAGTCTTGGTATGACTTGCGGACGTTCAAACGGTGGTACGGTGGTACGATCACCGAAATAGAGATCAGGCTGTGTCCAACTCCCACGTAGCTCTGCCAAGCACCAGCGCTGTGCGTTTCACTGCCCGCCGTCGGCACTGACCTTGTCTCGGCTGAGCTCTGACAGCAGCCTTCTCATCCGCAGTGCACCAGCGTCCACATCTGCAGCCACAGCGGCAGTAGCACGGTGCACGCCACATCCAGCAGCCGCGCGCCGTACACCAGTGAGTCGACCAGCGCCACGGCCAGCGCGCGCTGGTCGGCGGCCAGCACGGCGCGCCAGGCCAGCGCCGGGGCGCCCAGCGCCACAGCAGCCAGCTGCAGCGTGAACGGGTGGACCAGCAGCAGGCAGAGAGACGCCAGCAGACGCGCCGGCGCGGAGCTGTGGAGACGGGGCGGGCTGAGGTCAGGGGAGACAGGGCAGCAAGACGGTGAGACAGGGTGGTTAGTAGGGTGGCACTAAAACGGGGCTAAAATTTCGTTTTGAGAATTTTCAACGGGACGGGCAGCCAATCTGTTCTACCACCCGAGAAAACGTTGCGTGTAAAATATTTTTGGAAAATATGTTTATTTAGAGGTAGCTCAACCAGGTCAAAGTTCACATTTTTGTGAAAAACACAACTTTGCCGAATTTTAATTTCCACGTGTATTTCTGATGTTCACAATGACATTGGACGTTGCCAAGACTTTACCGAAACGTTTCAGCACCTAAAGCTCAGATATATAGGTACATATGAGGTACATAATTCTTTTGAAGGTATGCATAACTTACTGCATAACTCCATGAAAAGAGAAAGCGGTATCATCCGTAATCAGCCAACACTTGTACACGTTATTCGTCGGCTAGTCTTGCCTACTTAGAAGGTACGATCGCCTGGCGTATGTCAGAATGCTTGCTTCTTTGCTCCTCGACGACCTACAAGAGGAGCTGCTGTTAGTCTTTATCCTTCGTGGGGGTTAGATCGATTTCCTGGCCATCAACAAAATGCCTCGTTCCGCGAAGTCGTAGAGGCGTGAAGAGACCTTATGTAGCGCATGGCGGCGTTGTAGAATGGCTTGACCTCCCAAAGAATCAGCTCCTTCAAGAGGAAGTCGGTGTCCATACCGAGGATGCTGAAGAAGCTTGTGAAGCCAGTTGTGATATGACGAAGTCTGCCGTGGACTTGCTAGAGACTGAAGCTATAGTAAGCTCAATGTGGGCTCGACGGGGGGGGGAGGGGCACTCGGCCCTCTCCTCCTCTCGTAACATGCAGCCATCTCACGTTTAGTAGCAGCAATCGTAGTCTCCTTCATTAGAAGTTGAGGGCGACCAGCCTCTCATTTAGATACCAGAGGTGACGGCTGAAGGCAATGGCTGTCGCCTTGGACACCAGTTCGGACACCAATTCGTACTCCAGAAGAGACTTGAGGAGGTCGAGATCTTGCACTGGTGCAGACGCCAGAAGCGGTGCATTGAATCGAGCCGAAAACTACGTTGTTACCACAAAGGTCACGATTTGCTGGAGGCTCTTCTTCTTAGACGTAGTGAGCCGGGATTGTGCTCGGAAGAGGTAAAACTTCATAGCGTAAATGGCATTGGTCAACCAGCACACAAGGAGCATATCGGGGCGAGCGATCTTCATACCTCGTTTCGGAACACCACCGAGGACAGTGATGGCCAGCTCCAGCATTTCACGGTTGTCGCGTGAGTGCTGGTGGTCAAGGATATACGACCGAACTGTGCAAGAGCATCACGCGGGTTGTGGAGGTGGGACATGTCACAGTTTTGGAAGGTTTATGGCTTCGTTCCATCTAGCCGCCCACTTTTTATGGAAGCGCTTAAACAAAACAACGTCCGGGCCGCTGGACGGGCCGAGGCAGGCTGAAAATGTCTTTATAGAACAAACTCGTAAATGTCGTGGCAAGTCAGAAGGAGCAAGTCCTGCTCGAGCCGCTGCTTGATGATCGTGCAGGCTCCTGCATTGAGGCCGGTGTTCGATGCACTTGTGTCAAAAGTGAGCGCTTTCACTCAATCCTTCAACTCTCACTCATCGAGGGATTCTATGTAGAACAGCGTTTGCTGCGGCCTGACAATTTGAGCCTGGCTAGCGAAAAATGTTCTGAAATGGCTTAGCAAAACACAACTTATCTTTTTCACGTGCACGTCTTCTCCCTGACATCACGAAGACACGGAGACCTGCCCTGTGGCCGTACACTGGCAGTGTCCCCCTGCGCATCAGTAACCTGGGATACATGAGCAGAGTAAATGCGTATTACAAACGGATCACAATACTCAGCGAAGAAAAACCATTCCTGATACGCATTTATTTGCTTATGTAACCCCGATAAGTGCCAGCAGTCTCGTGACCCTTCCTAACCATCGTAATACGAGAGAAGAGCTGAAGTTGCACGCCTAGCAGCGGGCCACCGTCACCGAACAAAATAAGCTAAACTACGCTGAACGGCCATTGGTTGAATCACGCATTGCGTCGCAGCGCGTTTGCGGCGAGAAACACTGTGGTTATGAAACAAATAGGAAGGCATCTATCATTCATTTAAACGTGTTACAGCTCAAATATGACAATGCTTGGAATGGCGCGACACACTCTGAATCCCCGTTCACAATATACGTTTTCTCAATATGTACCAAGTATGACCCCATTGAGCTACCTCTAAATATAAATATTTTTTGATAAAATTTCATACAGATCATTTTTTCGTGGGGTAGAACAATATGGCTACCCGTCCCGGTCGAAATTAAAAAAGTCGAAATTAAGTGCCACCCTAGTGGTTAGGCAATCAGAGGGCCGGAGACATTCAGAGGGCGGGAACAGTCAGAAGAGCGATCGGTTGGTTATTGGGGTTCAGGCCCGTCGATGACGAGGTCTTAATGTACACTTTCAGAGGAGTGTCCCAATCCCCACCCGGCTTATAGGCAAGTGACCAGTGTCCAGCTAGCCCCACAGCCCACGAAACCCGTCCCCGCCCTTCGTCCCTTACCTGTAATATCTGGCCGACAGTGCCACTGGCGTATAGAGTGTGGTGACGATCAGCGCCAGCGATATGTTGAACAGAGCCGCGGTGAACACGAGCAGGCCGAGCTCGATCAGCGTGACGCAGCGCAGCAGCAGTCGGCCAGACTCGGAGAGCGGCGACCGCCTGAGGACGGCGGGACGTGGCGAGTCAGAGACGGAGGGTGACATTAGGGGTCAGAGACGGGGGCGCGGGGCGGGCGATAGGGGACACGCGTTCAGCGAAAAAAAAAATAACTGCTGTATAAGCAGCAAATAGGAAAGTCGCACACAGTTTCTGGTGACAATTAGTGGAAGTAATCAAATCCTGATACTCTTCCAGACCACTATATGCCGGTATATAGGTATAGTCTATGTCTGGACTTATTCACAAGAACGGACTCAGACCCATGTAATATACAGCTGAGAGTGATTCGACCACAGTATGGGCCAGCCGAGTCCATACAACAAACATAAATCTTCCCCAGCGTCCCAATAACCGACAGCCGTCCCACGACCCCCGTCAGCCGGCAGCCCGCGCGGTCCGCACCTGTTGGTGATCGCCGGCAGCAGCAGGCTGCCCACGCTGACCGTCAGCAGGCCGGCGAACACGGCCCGCTCGGTGGGCCAGCCGGCGGCGGCCAGCAGCTGGGTGAGCGGCACCAGGCCGGCCAGCGTCACAGCGCCCAGCGCGTGAGGCGCCAGCACACACGGCAGCACGGCCGCCAGCGGCCACGGCTCCGACGGACGGTCACACTGCCGGGGAGGGGGGGGGGGGGACGTGAGGCAGGGGAATGAGAGACGCTGCATGCTGGGTGGCTGGGAGAAAAAGCGGCATGGGAGAACGTCTTCTGCACAGACCTCATATTGGGAAGGAATGACCTGCATTTAGCATGGAAGTAACATTGTTTCATTTATCAAAACCGGGTATATGAAAAGCGTATTCTACACCAAAAGGGAAACCAGAAGAACACACAAAAGAAAATATAGCCCTAAGGCCTCAGATAAATGTCATGCCACCGAAATCCCGCTCTTTCGATTGAATACGTCAGTAACCTACAACAAACTGTCGATCATAAAAAACAGCCCCTCTATTGGGCTCTCCCAGACCTCTCGCAGCACCCACAAGCTCTTCCCTCTCTGTTGCTCTCTTACCGCGTCCCCGCCCTTCTTCCCGACACTCTCCGCCCCCTCAGCTTCCTGCTGCCTCTCCGAGTCGTCTGTGTCCGGCAGCCGGAGCCAGCAGGTCAGCGCCCTCAGCACGATACCGATAGCCACCAGCGCGAACGGCGGCATGTACAGACCTGGTGCGGGGACAGGGCGACACGGCAGGTCAGACTTGGGTCAGAGGGGGCAGATAGGCGTCACAAGGGGTCACAGGGACAGACGGCGGTCAGAGGGGGCAGACGGAGGTCACAGGGGGTCACAGGGGGCAGAGAGGTCACAGGGGTCAGAGGGGTCAGTAGGCTGCAGGAGACAGACGAGGTAGGAGGAATGGTAGTGATGGGTAGCGGGTCTGTAGCAGTTCACATGTGAGTTGGCGTATGATAAGGTGTGTAGCTGGTGGTATAAAAAGAATCTTCGATTCGTGACGTCAGCAATGATCGGAATTCGCATCAGAAAAGTTAACAGACACAACGTCATCCAAGCCCACGTACAAGCTAGCACAACTTTACATAAAGGGAGCACTATCGATTAACAAAACATCATTAGCTGAAGCGGGAAGTCAATCAAATTACGATATTTACACATATCACCCCTAACAGATTGTCTACCAGGGACCTCTCCAACGACATGGTTCGGTGGCCCCGCAGCCGCCGGGACGCCGTCCGACCACCCACCGATGGAAATGTAGCGTCCCGTGGCCGGCATCAGGTAGAAGAAAAAACTCTGGTGGAAGCGCTCCAGCAGGTTATTCAGCGACCGGAACATGCCCTCCAGCACGCGAGCCAGGTGGGAGAGACCCGACCGGGGTCCCGGCATCGCGCGGTCGTCCAGGGCGCGCAGTGTCACTGCCTGGATCCCGTACCTGATAAGAAGGGGGACGAGGTCACTGCTTAAAAACCGCGCCTGGGCTTTCAAACATAGAACAAGGCAGACATAAGCTTTATGAATTTCATCATAGTCAGTATCTTTCTTAGTCATTGGGGAGCGCAATGTTAAAATTAATACCGAAGTTTGTAGTCATACCGAAGTTCTCCATAAACTGTGATTCACTATCATGACTCAACATAGCTAGCACGCCGCCCTCGTGAGCTGGGGCGTTGAGCGTGCTGTCTCCCCGGCGCCGGTGCCGCCACTGACCTCAAGTAGTGTCCGTGGTTGCCGGTCGGCGTGCCAGCCGCCTGGCTGGCCATCATGTGCAGCAGAGTCTGTAGTGAGTGCCGGTAGCCCGCCTCCGAGTGCGGCCGAGGGTGGTCCGCCTGACGCACGGAAACGGCCAGAACTGAATTGGAACATACACTGAGGGTTTGAGGTGAAAACAACAAAATGATGTTTCCCAATAATTGGTATGACAATTTTACCAGTTTCCTATGTCATCCTTTAAAGGTGGGTCCTTGAAATCTGGATAGCATTTCAAATCCTCGTTTCTTCGATACTTTCCTAGCCAAATATTTCCCACGCCACCATAAAGCCCTGTTGCGACTTCATCCCGCCGTCCCTGCCTCATCGTGGTCCCCGCTATCCACAAAATATTATCCCCCAATGCAGCTCCCCCGCCGTCCCAATGTCTCCAGTTTTCCACACCTCTAGACTCTACGTCCCATTCCCCTGATTTCCCCCGTCTCACCCGCCCCTGCGTGGTGTGCTGGATGTGCTCCTGATGGCAGATCCAGTGTGCCATCTTCACCAGGTCCAGGTTCGGCAGCTGTCCGTTCAGACCCTCCACCAGCACGTCCACGTGACTGACCGTCGCTGACTCCACCTCCAGGTTAATGGCCGCCTGGCGGTGGAGGCACGAAACACTGGTTAGCGGTAGTTACTAGGCGTCACTGTGGAAACACCGATCGGTGGGCTCGCTCGGGACCAACCGCTATACCACCAGCCGAAGGCTTACATAGAGTATATGAAGCGAACCTGATCAGCTTGATCGGATGCACAGAGACTGCTGAAAGGAAGCGAAATGTTCTTGCCCATATAGCTCAAACTATAACAGACTATCTTTCATCATCTATTCTTATGAAGCGACCATGGCAAACAAAGCTTCTTGAAAAATAGTGAACCCCTGACATCCATAGCGCCCTCTTCAGTCCACCCAACTTTGCTGACAACTACAAAACGGCTTGTTTATCCAAACTCACACCCCTACTTTTTGCCATAACTGCATGCAGCCGACCTCACGGCTCACGCCCCGTTTCTCCGCACCTGTATAGACCCAGCTCGTCCGGGCAGGTCTCCGGCGTCCAGCAGGCCGTGGCCCACCGGCTGCTGGTGGTAGGCCGACAGCCAGGCGGCCACTCCCAGCTGCTCGTGCTCCGTCACCAGAAACACAATGTCCTTGGCCCAGTACACCTGACCTGGGGCGGGGGCGCAGGGGAGGGGTCAGATTCCGAAAAAAATTACCGACATTTATATCATATACTCAATTGTAGCGATGTAGCCAGCCCATAACCAAAATGCACTCGAATCATCGGCTGCAAAAAAATATAAATAAAACTCAGCGTTACGATCAATGAAGTAAATGCCACATCGAGTGAATTGATGAACAGCCAAGGCAATTACCGAATTAAAAGCATTACACTAATTTGATTGGATAAGACAGGTGCGATCAGGCCAGTCATCATTCACAAAATTATGATAGTGGTGGTCCTGCTTAGATACTCACGTCTGAAGTACTTGGCCAGCGCGACCAGCATGGCCACGGCAGCGTGGTTGGGCGGATGCGGCGCTCCGGGCCGGCGGTAGGGTGCTGAGAGGACCAGCGCCTCAGTGCTGCCGCTGCGGGGCGCGCGCAGCACCGCGTACGTGTTCTCGCCGTGGAACACCTGGCCGGGAGGACACGGGAAGAGGTGGTCAGAGGTAGACGGGCGCGAGCAACAGGTGATTATCTGATATCGATGTCTTGACAGACATTGCATGTATGCACGACGCACGCAAGCTTCTCATTTCCCGAATGGCTATTCTTGGTGCTGAGTCAATGATATAACGATAAGACACGTGAAGGTATCACACCCGACCTCACTTACGTCCAAACCCTACCCCCATATCCCCATGTCCCCACTCCTCCGAGCTCTGGTCTGCCGCCTGTGCCAATCACATTCCCCACGGTGATACTGACCGATCCGTTGCCGAGCGGGTAGCGTAGTGTGAAGTTGTGCGGGTACACCTGCAGTCCCAGCTGACGGAACTGGGCGCGGATCCACGGGTGGGGCACCGTGTCCGGGTGATCGGCAGCCTCCGCCTGCCGGAGATGAGGGACGTGAGACGGAGAGTGTGTGGGGTTAAAATATGGGAACACAGAGGGAGGACAGACATGCCGGCTGATACAACCAGGGAGATTCAAATAAATAATATACATTTCCCACTGGTGCAAGCTGTTTCATCTGAACAGGTACCCCTTAACCTATAAGAATTTCCAGTAATGTCATGACAATTTACCTCTAGAGCCTTCAGAAGACGAGCGAGTTCACTGCCGTCGGAGAATTCGTTAGTAACAAGGCCCGGAAGGAGGGCGTTCTCGGAGAAATACGTGCCTGAAAAATGTAATAATCTTAAAAATCACTTCAACTCAAGAACATCCAATGAACAAGGAGAACTTGTATCGGCTTGATTGTGATTTATCTGCATTTAGCTTCATTCAGACTTTGCTGGTGACTGCTGCTATAATTAAAATTACCAATGCAATTCAGTAAACGTCCATGGGCATATATCATTTTGATATAGCAATCCTTGTTTCAACAAGTTATATTGATAGATGAAACCAGAAGTGACAGCAAAGAACAAAAAGACAGTTACAATGTAAGCATTTACAATGTCCTGAAAGAGCTCACATTGACCATAACAACATTCTCTCAATGAAAGCATCATGCAATTTACTATAATACAGAAGTCCTTATTTTTTAGACTTACCCGCATTATATGGGTGATAAGCCAGAGCCAGAAACCAAATGATACCAGCAATGTACAGAAGTGGTGACACAACTGGTTCCCATTTGATAAGAATGTTTGCAAACTTCTTGGAACTACCTCCAGCAGTAGGACTTGTTAAAAGACCCATTTTTCTGAAAGTATAATTATTCTGTATAAACCTTATCACTAAAGACAATAAGCACATAGAACAAGGAATGTTTAACCTTTATTTTTTTTACCTTTATCTATATAGAACAGGCAAATGATAGCCAATGATTCTGATGAGCTTCAATTCATAATGCAATGCTCAGCAACTGCAGATGCAACTAGTCAGAGGCTTTGGCCGTCATGGGCTAACCAAGTTTCAAGCTATGCTCAAGAAGGGATTTGCACAGGTGACAAAGTTCATGGAATTGATTGCATTCCAGGCCAGAGGGAGTCAGCAGTAAGAGCATATATAATACTGAAAACAACAGTAAAAAGTAAAAATAGACACAAATAGCATTAATGATGAAAATTACTCTCTCACAATTTGGTCATATCCCTCTTTTGCACACTGGGCTCGAAATTGAACAAAAACCACACCATAGTGTCACAACCTAGAAATGTATCAACCTAGAAAATTGTTCATACTATCGTTTATTACTAAAAAAAATCAGGTACAGTACAATACAAGCAGAAATGAAAAAACCTAATCTAATAACCTTACCAACTAACCTGGCTACAACCTACCCTACCCTACCACCTAAATCTACTTATATATCACATAACCTAACCCGACTCAGCGAGTTGTTGGGTGTAACTTATAAATGTTTTGTGTAAAAAGTATCATAGGTATCTATGCGTGATCTCACTTTTCTACCTTAGAAGGCCGTGCTCTTTCTTTTCATGATTTTATTTTGTGAATTTCTTCAGTTTTAAGAGTGCAAACTGTGCAATAGAGGGAAATGACCCATTTCCATTCTAACCTGAACTCACAAAAATCTAAAATTACTCTAGCCTTATCTAACCCAGCCTAACCTTAACATAACTTACCCAACCTAAACATCATAAATATTACTGGTTTTGTTTCACACCATTATTCAGCCGTGTCCGGACAAAATTTCGTCTGACATTTTTTCGTCGGACAGTTTTTCGTCCGCAGATATTCGTCCGACTTTTTTTCGTCTCGCATTTTTTCGTCTGTACATTTTTTCGTCTGTGCATTTTTTCGTCTGTACATTTTTTCGCCCGGACATTTTTTCGTCCGGACATTTTTTCGTTCGTATATTTTTTCGTCTGTACATATTTTCGTCCGGACATTTTTTCGTTCAATAAATTTTGGACGCGTGTATATCACACCACGGTGAGATTTACATAATGCATCGCACTGTAGTGTAAACCTCACCCGGGTGTGATTTACACAATACACTACTCCTGTGTATATCACACCACGCGGAGTGTGATTTACACAGTGGGCCGGCAATGCGTAAATCACACCGGGGTGTGATATACACAATGTGCTCCTAGTGTGTAAATCACACCCGGGTGTCAGACCACGCAGCACCTGGGTGTGATTTACACAGTAGGCCCGGCAAATGCGTAAATCACACCGTGGTGTGATATACACAATGTGCTCCTAGTGTGTAAATCACACCTGGGTGTCAAACCACGCAGCACCTGGGTGTGATTTACACAGTAGGCCTAGCCAATGTGTAAATCTCACCAGGGTGTGATATACACTGTGTGCTCGGTAGTGGGTAAATCACACCTGGGTGTCAAACCACGCAGCACCTGGGTGAGATTTACACAGTAGGCACGGTAACAATACACTTAACCAAACCTTAGACCTGACCTGACCTGACCTGACCTAACCTAACCTAACCTAACCTAACCTAACCTAACCTAACCTAACCTAACCTAACCTAACCTAACCTAACCTAACCTGACCTACTGATTTTTGCCTACCCGTGGATGAGGAAGAAGGTACTCGCATGAAGAGATTGCAAGCAATGGTAAGTCAAATATTTTTAGGTTAAGTGGTTGTGCATCAGGCTTCAGGCCTTCGGCCTGAAGCCAGATACACAACCACTTAACCTAAAAATATTTGACTTACCATTGCCTGTAATCTCTCCTAAGGCATTGCCTTCGGCACTGCACCGCTTCGCCACGAGCATTCAGACGTCGCTTTCCATATTGTATTGGTGCTTTTAAACTTGTCGGTCGGCAGCGAACCCACCGCTACCAAGGAAAAGCGAAAATGCGGGAAAAAGCGCCCGCACCGACGGGACTCGAACCCGCAACATTCGTATCACGGTGCAAGCACCTTCACCACCAGGCCAGGCGGTCACCTGATTCCGAGAGAGAGGACGCCCGGAATCCCGCCGGAATATTCGTAGTGCTTAGTCTGATCTGACCAATGGGCGAGCAGAGTCACTGCTCTGACCAATGGACGTTCAGCGTTGCTATGAGGTCACATCGTGGTGAGATATACACACAGCTGCCCTCTCTGTGTATTCCTCACCCGGGTGTGATTTACACTACGTAGTAGATTTTGTGTATATCACACCGGGGTGGGTGTGATTTACACAAATGGCCGGTATTGTGTAAATCTCACCGTGGTGTGATATACACGGTCCCATAAATTTTACGTCTGTGCACCCAAGGTTGAGTGAAAACATAATACAATGCTATTCAACTGTGAGGCAAATGACGTCATAATAACACTCGGGGTGAACTGTGAAGCAGTGCAGTGCCAAAGGCAATGCCTTAGGAGAGATTACAGGCAATGGTAAGTCAAATATTTTTAGGTTAAGTGGTTGTGTATCTGGCTTCAGGCCGAAGGCCTGAAGCCAGAGCCTGATGCATAGCCTGATGCATAACCACTTAACCTAAAAATATTTGACTTTCCATTGCTTGCAATCTATTCATGCAAGTAACTTTTTCCTTATCCCCCGGTAGGCAAACATCAGTAGGTAAGGTTAGGTAAGGTTAGGTTAGGTTAGGTTAGGTGGTATATGGTTAGGTTAGGTTAGGTTAGGTTAGGTTAGGTTAGGTTAGGTTAGGTTTGGTTAGGTTACGTTAAAATTGTAGACGAAAAAACGCACGAACGAAAAAATATACGAACGAAAAAATGTTCGGACAAAAAAATGTACAGACGAAAAAATGAACAGACGAAAAAATGCACAGACGAAAAAATGTACAGACGAAAAAATGTGAGACGAAAAAAAGTCGGACGAAAATCTGCGGACGAAAAATTGTCCGACGAAAATCGGCTGGACGAAAAACCGTCATGGAATCCTGCCACATTAAAGTTTTTTAAGATTTATACCTGTATATTATTTTTTATTATTTTTCATCACTGTCCCTTAGCACCCCAATGTGGGGTGTTAAGGGACACCTATATTATTCCAAGAAATGGTCATCAAATGCCCACAATCGGGGTGTGGAAGGGCACACAATTTATTTATTGAAATGTTTTGCATATTCTGTCACAAAACAAGTCAGGTTAATTCACCACTAATGACCTTTTTAGCCAATTACGTGTAATGCAGTTTACGCTTGTGGAAAATGTGCTAATTATAAGGTAAACAGCACCAAAAAGTAATCTTCTGTCATCAATAAAAACCCATGTTGAAGCTAGTCACTTGTCATTATGTTGCCCTCCTTGTTTTAGCCTTTTTATGATGACATCACATTTACCTACATCAGTCTCCATTGACCCATCATTGTAAACGAGAGTGTTGAGATGTTTTGTTACTTAACTTAAGATATGTTAGAGATAAAAGCATGAACTTGCTAGCATTTTAAGTGGAATTTGGTGTTTTCCATGCCTCCTTAATTAAATTATATTTAGATATTATTTTTCATTTTTTCTTCCCTGTCCCTTAGCACCCCACATCCACCTCAAAATATGCATGTATCCGGAAAAGAGGAAGAGGATGATGAATGAATGGGTGGATTTGCACAAGTTTTTCAGGAAACATGTGCAATACATGTGACAATACACCTATGCATTCATTTTCCCTGTACACCCACTAGTTTATGTGGTACACACAGAGTTTTGGAGATGTTTCAATTTTGTGAAAATGTAGCATGATTTTCAAATCCATTTTTGAACCAAATCACTTGCATGAAAAACCATACCATTTCAGTAGGCGGAACTATGGTCACGAGCAGGGCTGCGGAGTCGGAGTCGGAGTCGGAGTCGGAGTCGGTCGGAGTCGACAGTTGTGACCGGAGTCGGAGTCGGAGTCGGAGTCGATTTTAGAAACCCGAGCCGGAGTTGGAGTCGGAGTCACCGAAAATCTGTCGACTCCGCAGCCCTGCTAGGTCTGCGGAGTCGGAGTCGGGAGTTGGAGTCGGTCGGAGTCGACAATTCTGCCCGGAGTCGGAGTCGGAGTCGGAGCTGGTTTTTGAAAGCCGGAGTCGGAGTCGGAGTCGGAGTCGCCGAAAATCCATCGACTCCGCAGCCCTGGTCACGAGTACCCAAATATAGGAACGTTCCCATTTTTGGGAACGGAGTTCCCAAATATGGGAACGGGCGTTCCCATTTACGGGAACGGAAGGTAATTTTTCGGCCGTTCGCCCACTAAAACTCATTAGTGCATCACGTCTCAAAAAAGTGCACGCTAATTTAAGTATCTACTGAATGTCTATAAAATTATCTTTAATCTGACCGTTGAACAAGGAAATTGACCGTCGAATGATATTTTTAATGATTTTTTTGAAATGACGGAATGGTGAAAACATGGGTTATACTACATTTAACATGCAATTTAAAGGAAAATGAAGCGTTTTTTACATGTTGAGGTCAAGTATAATAATTTTCGCCTGGTTATGAAGTTTCATACTAGCGACACCGCTGACATATGCAAGCGAACACGCGGACAGTCCCGAGGTAATATTGTTGACTTTTGGTCTCGGGGTGCACGACCGCGTGGAACGTCAGTGATTTTACCGAACTACTGTTGAAAACTCAGTTTCAGTGGTTTAAAATTATTCAGCTGTATTTTATCAACCCGGAAAGACATATTTTATTTGGATGCTAGCTGTTTAGCATTGTTTTATAAGGAGCGTCATGAGCGTGGTTTTTGTCTTCCGTGTTTCTAAGCATGATCGTTTTGGGGGAATTTCTCTTATATAGGTCGCTCTGTGTGGCTTATTTATAATTTTTATGCTGATTTCGATCATTCCTAGTGCCCATCCTACCAGGCCTTTTGCCACTTACACTCATTAAGAAAGGAAAAAACTAGATTTTCCATAGGACTAGGTGTTTTGAGGGTGTAACATATTCAGCGTTCCCATTTTTGGATACTTCCTTGTGCTCGTCAACTATCGGTGATAAACAGACAGGTGCTTGACATGTCTCCACCCTCGGCGCGGACGGTGGATATAGGTATGGAAGACCTTGTTGAACATCGCTGAGCGTTGTGAATTACGTAATCCTGCAGAGGGGGCGTGCCCGCTGCGAGATCGACGGGAATAAAAGCGCAGAAGACCGGGCGAAACATGCGACGGTCTTGCCGGAAAGGTCATCTGATGATTGTTGCTTAACAATAATTTGCGGCGTTGGACATGATGCTTGTTAATGAAAAGAGCCCCTGAAAGGCGTCGGTGAAATCGTTCCCAATTTTGGGTACGCCGTTCCCATAATAAGGAACGCTTGCAGCGCCAGTGTACGAGAGCGTTCCCAAATTTGGGTTCGCGGCCCGGATGATGGACTGCTTTAGAAATAGGGGAACGATTTGAAACTACGATGGGCCTTACAATATCAAACTCTTTCCCAACAATATTGAGACAAATATCAGGCGGTTCACGATCGTTTTATATTTTTTGGACGTCATTTAACGGTTCTTTTTCTTGTTTTAAATAATTCCTACATGGCGTTCCCATATTTGGGTTTATCGTTCCCAAACATGGGAACGAAAATGCGTTCCCGAAAATGGGTACGCTTGACCATAGTTCCGCCTACTGATTTTCTCCTATGGTAAAGAGCAAAACAGTGTCAACTACCACACTGAAGTTTTTATTGAACCTTCTCAAATTAGGAAGTTAATATGACTCAAAGTTTTCCCATGCAACTGTCCCTTAACACCCCACTGTCCCTTAACACCCCATTTTACGGTATTGCAACAATAAAATAGGTACCAAAAGATTTCGGGCCTCGCACAACCTTTCAACGCTGAAATAACATGTTCTTCCCTTTTGTTTTGTTTGTACAACAGCCAATGGAGAATGTGCAGATTTTGCCAGTAGTACTTATGCTACCTACTGCACTATGATTTGATGTAGAAACTAGAAAATACTGAAATCATTTAAGTTTTGCACCAGTTTTCCAGGCTAAAATACGTGTTCTTCTCTTCTGCTTCTATTTGCCTCCAGTTTGTAGGGTGGGATACTTGGGTGGGATAAAGGAGGGTGTAACGTGTAGCCTAAGTCCTTACACACAAAATTATACGGCACAATAGTGGCACATTAAAATACAAATTAAAATATGATAATAATTATACAGGCAATTGCACACTGATACGAAAGCTAGACAAGCCGAAAAAATCGTGTTCAAAACACGATCAAAATGTATTCCTTTTGCGTTTGGCGGAAATCAACTGTCTGCTTTTTTGCGTCGAGGAAAAAGCAATTTAGAAATCCAAGTGAAACAAGGGTACAAAATTGAACAAATACTGAATTTTATATGAACTTTTTGCAAAAACCCTTTAAATTACCAGTTTGATTCACTTTAAACTGTCTGCGTTTCGCCCCTCTTGTGCTTCCTGAACACAAAATTTCAGCTCTTAATATGTCGCATTGCAGCCAAAAATGCATGCAAACATACAGATCAATGGCCACTAATTGATTTGGCGGGTTTACCAAACATTTGGTAATCCCGGTTTTACGCTAATACAGGGTTTCTTGACTGAACAATTTGATTTTTTTTAATAAATGCTAGAACGTGATAAGCTCAAACTGTCGCAGGACGCGGGAAATTGTGTTTCATTCTAAGCATGAACAGTGTCAGTGGCGGCGGAACACCTTGGCGGGGGGGGGGGGAGGGGCACTGGCGACTAATTTGGTCCCATTCTTTCCATAATCAAAGGGGGGCACGGTGCCCCAGTCCCCCTCTGTTCCGCCGCCTATGAGCATGAACACTGGCCGATCCAAAGTAGGAAATGTACCCCTCCAGGCTCCAGTCCATCAGCGCCTGAAATTAGCCACTTAGCTCGCACAAGAAAGAAATTAGACTACCTATATTGATTTATATTAAACAGCAAGGTTAGATACACCGCAGTGAAATTCGAATTTTTTTTTTTGTTGGAGCCTGGAGGTTGCCTGGAGCCTTTTGAGGCTGTGGCCTCCCCCGCACCATCCAGAACCACTTTTCTGGATCCCTGGTGATAACAGAGTCCAGAGTCAACAGTCTGACCAGTCTGAGCTGAGTTCATCTTTATATCTATGATTTTACCGGATTTACCCCATTAGATGCCACCCGGGTGGCGTCGATCGATACCCCACATCCGGAGTCACACCGGTCTCCGTGCCTGAAGCCGCCCCTGCTCCGGTTCAGTCCGGCGCGTTCTGGTACTTTTCCACTGTTTACGTCGTGAGGTCAGCTGTTTCGATTGACGTCATAGACTAGCCTTCGCAACGCGGCTCTGTGATTGGTGGACGTCTGAGGGCCTGGCGTCCCGGCCCCGCCCACAACCGCGTGCGCGCGGCGGTTGCATCACTCTGGCTCGCGCTGATGTGTCGGGGTCCGTTCATGTGCCGCGGAGCCGGGTTTCGTTCGACCCCGGCTGTTTCCCGTGCGCAGTTTTCCGCCGGTCTGTCTGAGAGTCGGTCGTGTCGTGTTGTGGACGTTTCGCACTCGGGACATAGCGGGCGTGCTTCCGTCCGGTGACTCGGACCGTCGGCTGTCTGTGGACTGTGAGTGCGTGAAGGAGTTGAAGCTGGAACTCCCGAGTGTCGTAGCACTCATGACAAGGACACACCAAGGTTAATTTTAGCTGATAGTAGGAAACTTTGGGTCTGTGATCATGAAGTTTTCAAGATGTTTCAGAGGTCTGGCGCAAATGCTGGACACCTACTCAGGGTACAAGCCGTCTCCGTTGTCCATCAAACAGTTCATCGATTTCGGTAAGTGTCTCCTGTTGACACTGGCACGCCACTGGCACTTGCTTTGACTTGTCGAGCTATTTCTTGTATAGCTTTTATATCTTATTGTTGGGACGCTGTTGTGCTGGACTGTGTTTTATAAACGATTATTTCCCTTTTTATTTATTGTGTATCACCGTTCCTAGCGCGGTTTTTCGTCCGTCTTGGTCTCCACTCCAGGTTATGTAATTATAGGTATCTTGGTGTAAATATCCCCTGCGATAAAGCTTTGTTTTGGTTTGCCCGCGAACGTCTCGTGTTTTTCCACGCGCTGTTTTGGTATGAGCGTCCCAAACACCGTTCCGCTATGTCAGCGATCTCGCCCAAGGCCGGCCGTCGGCTGGGAGCCTGTCGGGGCCATCTCAATCTGGGCCGGGCCGCAAATTCCCAATAGTGCTACACGCTAGGCACAGCCCGGGCGGGTGACGTCACGGTGTCGTCACTCGCGTCCGGGGCATGCGCATGGGGGCCCGCTCGGCTCTGGAGGCGCCGGCGGCAGGCGGCTCAGAGAGATCTGCACGGCCGATGGGAGCGGGTTCCGAGATGTGCACGGCCGATGGGAGGGCTCGAAGACCACTGCTCCATGATGCCTTTAATAGTCAACTACACTGCGACCGATTTATCGGGTATATCCGACGCAGAAGTTGCGGCGAAAGAAGAGTTGAAAGAGTAGTTGAGGTAGAAGAACAGTAAATTTCAAGCCCAGCGGCGTATTTAGAAAATCGCGAAGGGGGGGCAAGGGTTTGGAGGGCGCCATACGGTCGCGAGATAAAAATCCGCTCAGCGGGAGGGGGGGTGGGGGGTGGAGGCGTTTTCGGTATATGTCAAGTTTACGTCCTAAGCACATATCAATGATAATTGTTTCACATTCCTACGTATTTTGACGTGCTGAATCCAAAAATCATACTTACATGTCTCGCAAGAACAAAATTATCACCAATACACTAAGCAATTACACCTTCCCACAACACACGATCAAAACAAATCGAGAGGAAATTGAAAGTGTCCAGCCTTGCCATTTGTGAAAAATATTTTGTCCTTTTTTAATGTCGAGAAATAAAAACATTCAATATATTATAAAAATAAATAGGAAATATGTAAAAAATATTTATTTAAAAAGAAATATTATTATTAGAAATAGAATAGCAAAACAACAAAGGGGAAATGTTGGGAACCGGGGTTATTGGCTGGGGGGGGAGGAAAGGAAAATCCTGAGAACTGGGGGGCGATTACTTGTGCAAAGTTGGCCAAAATCAAGAATGATATCTAACAGTTGCTATTCAACTGTGAATAATGACGTCATAATATTTCTCGCGGCGAAGCAGCGCAGTGCCGAGGGCAATGCCTTAGGAGAGATTACAGGCAAGAGTAAATCAAATATTTTTAGGTTAAGTGGTTATGTATCTGGCTTCAGGCCGAAGGCCTGAAGCCTGATGCATGACCACTTAACCTAAAAATATTTGATTTACTCTTGCCTGCAATCTATTCCTGCAAGCAACTTTTTCCTTATCCCCGGTAGGCAAAAATCAGTAGGTTAGGTTAGGTTAGGTTAGGTTAGGTTAGGTTAGGTTAGGTTAGGTTAGGTTAGGTTAGGTTAGGTTAGGTCAAGTCAGGTAAGGTTAGGTTAGGTAACAATTAGATTTGAGGCAAGAACCCCGATTCCTAAAATTTCCCAAATATTGTAACCATTCTTATCGTATTTTTCTCCATCCCCTCCCCACAAACCCCGGTTCCCGACATTTCCCTATGACGTCATTTTCATTTTTTCTCTCCCCCACCCATGAACCCCGATCCCCAACATTTCCCTGTTTTTCTAACCCTCCCCACCCAATAACCCCGGTTCCCAACATTTCCCCTTTGTTGTTTTGCTATTCTATTTCTAATAATAATATTTCTTTTTAAATAAATATTTTTTACATATTTCCTATCTATTTTTATAATATATTGAATGTTTTTATTTCTCGACATTAAAAAAAGACAAAATATTTTTCACAAATGGCAACGCTGGACACTTTCAATTTCCTCTCGATTTGTTTTGATCGTGTGTTGTGGGAAGGTGTAATTGCTTAGTGTATTGGTGATAATTTTGTTCTTGCGAGACATGTAAGTATGATTTTTGGATTCAGCATGTCAAAATATGTAAGATTATGAAAGAAATATCATTGAAATGTGCTTAGGACGTAAACTTGACATTTACCGCGTTTTCTTACCACGCCACCAGTTTTTTTTTTTGCGTGACTTGGTATGGTAATTGGTAGGTTATGCTGCATTGATTTGGCATCGTGTGTATTTTGTTTTTACTCCAGGCCAAAAAAGGTCAAGTCACCCGCTCAGCTTAAGTGGCAATGCTTAAAACTTTTTTTTTAAGTTAAAGCACTTGACATGACCTGACGACCTTGCTTTTAGCAACTATGGTTTGCATTTTTAGAGCACGTGTAAGAGCAATGTACCAAAAGGTGTGCCCCTCCCGCTCACCCACTTCCCTCTCTCCCCGAGGAAAAAAACGGAAGCTCGTAACGTAGTGGCACCTTTTTCGGATCTTTTTTAACCGCATGTCTGAAGAAACCTCCTGGTGCGGGCTCATCTCACACGTGACAAAAAGGTTGCAAGTTATTGGCTATAGGTACTAAGTTCCTAGTAAAGAAGAGTTTGTGAAATGCTGCGCCGAAGGCGCGCGAAATTTTTGAAAACAACCTTTTCCTCCGCTTTTTAGGCACATCTTTTGCGTGCTCACTGTTCAAAGCTCTTCCCGCTCTTTTACCAAATTTGAAGGTGTAAAAAATACCTAAGGTTTGGTGGGGCCGATGCCACACAAGCTGCATAGAAAGCTTCGCCCATGGGTGACGATGTAGAAATTTAGAAAAGTTTATTGGCGGTGGCATACACACCGACACCAGGTCACCATATCGGATTGATACCGGAGCGCGAGGTGCGTAAACACAAGCGCACAACGAGAAGGCGGCAACAACAGAAAGAGAAACCATAACAGGGCTGTTCCTCATGAGATCGATTAGTCTTCTCGGGCTTCTCATCCAAATTACCTCGACCAGCCCTCATGACCTTCTCACAGATGCATACAGTGTTGAGCACCTTCAATCACCGAAACTTGGACGCCAATGGGTAGAAGGGCGGCGATCAAAAGGGGGCGCCAATAGGTAAGAAGCCAGAAGGCTCCGATCAACAATCAACAGGAGGGTGCCACCATGGGTGAGAGGGCGGCAAGGAACAGGAGAGCACCAATATATAGGAAGGTGGCGATCAACGAGAGGTCGCCAATGGGTAGGAGGGTGGTCATCAACAGGAAGTCGCCAATGAGTGGAAGGGTGACGATTAACAGGAGGGTGGCAATGGTGAGGAGGGCGCCTTTGCCCGAGGATGACATTGAACAGGAGGGCGTCTGTGAGGAGGGCGCCGATTTAACAGGAAGGTGTCAGTGGATAGGAGGGCGGCGATCAACAGGAGGGCGCCAGTGGTTAGGAGGGTGGCGATCAACACGAGGGCGCCAATAGGTAGAAGGGCCCCGATTAGCATTCAACAGGAGGGACTAGGAAACCAATAGGTAGGAGGGCGCCAATGGCTAGAAGGGCGGCACTCAACAAGAGGGTGCCAAAAGGGAGGAGGGCGGCCATAAAAATTTCACATGAGGGCGCAATAGATAAGAGGGCGCCAATAATTATGAGGGCGCCGACCAGAAAAATGGTAGCAATGTGTAGCAGGGTGGCGACCTACAGGAGGGCGCCTTCGGGTGAGAGGGCGTCTATTTACAGGAGAGCACCAATAGGTAGGAGTACACCGATCAAATGAGGGCACCAGTGGGCAGGAAGGCAGCGATCCTATAGGCTTACGTATCCAGTCGCGATTGTTTTTCGATTCGATTCTATCACAAGACCCCTCCAATCGCAAAGGGCGCCTTCTGCGCCCAAGGGGGGGGGGGCATGGCCCAGTGGCCCCTCCCTGCCTACGCCCCTGTTCAAGCCAGTTTCTGAACTCTTCTCGGGTTTTGACGTTACATCTCAAAGTCAAGGTTGAGGTATCATCTTTGCAGTTCACGTCGATGTTTGAAAAGCCTGAAGATTCAAATTTTTCCGAAAAAAAACACATCCTTTTCCATCTTGCACCACAGGTACAGAAACAACACCACCCACAAATCCAACACAAATTACAGTCTAATAGGTGTAACACCAACACGGCCTTCAAATCCAACATCCAGCGCACTCGGCCAAGGCCATCAATCAAGGGCAGGCCGTAATAGGCCCTTGAATTCGCGCCTTAGGTCCGCGTGTGATTCGTGCATAGACTCGTATATTGTCGTCATAGACTTTCCTTAACCTGTATCTGAACTAGCGAATAGATCCCCACCTCGTCTGACTATTGGCTGATGGATGTGACGTCACATAACCCCCAGGCCAATGAGCATGGGCGTAAGGTTATGACGTCATCTCCCGCGAAAACCAGCCAGTCAGCGCTGGAGGTGCGTAGCGTGTAGCATTATTGGGAATTTGCGGCCGGGCCGGGCGGCCGCCTGGACCCGTCTCTCCACTATACGTTACGCTACCTACTCGATGGGAAGCGGGACCATTCATTCATGTGTCCGCTCAACCAATAGCAGCACCAGTCAGCTATTTAAAAGCATTATGATGTTGATATGCTGATGGCCCTCAACACACCGCGGTCCCCTTGACCCCAACGATACTCCGGTCCTAACGGCCCTCGAAATACCCTTCTCCTGGTAGCTCCCACGATATCCCGCTCCTGATGGCCTCCAGTACCCCTCTCCTGACTGCTCCTGCGTGTCTCCATCTGCTCAGGGACCACGGCCTCGGAGCGGCAGAGTTTCCAGTTCCTGCGTCAGGAACTGCCGGTGCGTCTGGCCAACATCATGATGGAGATTCAGCTGCTGCCGGAGAGCCTGCTGTCGCAGCCGTCCTGCCGTCGCGTGGTGGACTGGTACCAGCAGAGCTTCAGCGAGCTGCTCCAGTTCTGCGCCGCCAACCCGGAGAGCTCGGCCGCTCGAGATGAGTGAGTGAGGCGCGGCGCTCACTGGTGTTATATGGTAGTCTTGTCATGATTACTGCTACTTACTTTAGTTTCTTCATGCCGTATGTCGACGTTATCCTGCGCTGTAAAAATCCGGAGAATCTGTTTATCTGGGGACAGGTTTGTAGTGTGCGTTGATGTTTTTTTATTCGATCTATCGTTGGAAAAATACCAATGATTTCTCAACCAAACACTGGTCAGCTGGTATGCCTACATTACGGTCGAGCGGTCTATTGATGCCGACCGGCCCGATTCACAGTCATCTGTGACTTATTGCGCGTCTCTTCTCCGGTGCTCTTATCGCACATTCTGAGCACAACAAACGCCTTTTTGCGACAGCTTCTGCGAGTCGCTGGTAAACATCCGAAACCGGCACAGTGACGTAGTCCAGACGATGGCGAAGGGCGTCATCGAGCTCAAGGACAGCACGCGCGTCGACTGCTCCACGGAGAACAACATTCAGTACTTCCTCGACCGTTTCTACATGAACCGCATCAGCATCCGCATGTTGATCAACCAGCACACGCTGCTGTTCGGCTCCGGGCTGGGCGGCGACCCGCGGCACATCGGCTGCATTGACCCGTACTGCGACGTGGTTGAGGTGATCAAGGACGCGGCAGCCAGCGCGCGCTTCCTCTGCGAGCGCTACTACCTGGCCTGTCCGGAGCTGGTCGTCTCACAGTTCAACGGTGAGAGACGCTGGCACACGGAGTTTTCCTGTGGGGAGGAGTAGGGGTAGAGGTTGTTGTTTGCTAACATTTTTATCGACGGTGATTTTACCATTTGCGTACTTGCGTACTTACCCGCTATCAGAGACGTGAACAAGAGTCGCACGTCTTTTTTTGTGATCGTACAAAAAGTCCGCTTGTTGTGTGTAGTTTGCGTATCTCGTTCTCGCTGTCCTCTCACTGCTGTCCTCTCACTGAGCATTAGTGCGTAAGTTGTAGTTGCACGGCTCCCCGTACTGAGACGCGGGGTTACGGACTAAGTAGTGACTGACGGTCCGCCTCCCCCCGACCCCGTCTGGTTCACAGAGACCTTCCAGCGCTCCAACAAACACACCGGTGAGTGAACTTTGACCCACCCCTATCCGCGGTTTCTTTAGCTAAACACGACAAGAGCGTGTGCCTGTCTGTCAAAAAGTGATGTGATGACATTTCGAGTGGCCCCAAGACCCAAGGGCGCAACTTTTTGCCTTCGCTCAATGCGAAGATCGTTAGGCTGCGCGGTCTGCCCGCAATATCTTGTCGTTTTTTTCACTTCATAATCTTTGTGATCAATGATTACGGAGCGAGCGAAGCGAGCGGAGTCTTACGTAGAATAACGGAAATTTCTGAGTATGAGCGGCCGGCCGGCCGGCCGGCCGTGCGGACGCTTTTGCGAGGCTTATATCTCAGCAACCACTTGACCGATTTACACGCGGTAATTTTTGTAGGGTAGCTTCATTCCTTCTACCAAGTATTGGACTATTCCCGATGCATGTGGGTGACCCCTTATGCACGTGCCACGTGCAAAACGAAGAGGTGTCACTTTTGTAATTGTTGCAATATCTCGGTAACTACTTGGCCGATTGCGCTGAAACTTGGCATGTAGGTAGGCACCCACTAGGCACTGCATATCCATGTGCCAGAGTTGGGGTGCTGCTGCACGTGCGCACGTGCAGGGGTCGTTTCCAGATCTCGAGAACGGCTGGACCGATTGCGCTCAAATTTGGTACACGGTTAGGGACCAGTTAGTAGGGCGCCGTGCACAAGTCAGTTGGGACCCATTTAGCACGGGTGCACGTGCAGGGTGCTGCTCCCAGATCTCGAGAACGGCTGGGCCGATTGTGCTCAAATTTGGCACATCGCTAGAAACCGGTCAGTAGGGTGCCGTGCACAAGTCAGTTGGAGGTACCCCCTCGAAATTTCGCACGTGCAAGACTCACCCCCTCGCTCGCTCCGTTAGTCGCCCCAAAAGGCGCTATACTGGTAAGTATCGCTTCCGATCCTCACAATAAGTTTCATTCCATACCGTTGTTGTTTCACGACGCCTGTACTGTATCCTACATACAACTTGAAAAATCCCTTCGACCCAAACCAACGAACAACAAATAATTGACCTGACTGTGCCCGCGCCCGCCGGCAGACGCCCTTCCGCCGCCGATGCAGCTGACGTACGTGCCGTCGCACCTGTACCACATGCTGTTCGAGCTGCTGAAGAACGCCATGCGCGCGGTGGTGGAGAACCACCCGGCCGGCGCCGAACTGCCGCCCATCCAGCTGTACGTCATCCTCGGCGGAGAGGACCTCGTCATCAAGGTGGGTCACGCGCTGTCGAGATACCGAGGGCGCGCGGACTTTTTTCTTGTTATCCTGCGTTTTGGTTTTGTGTGAAGAAGTAAGCATAGTATGAGACATTTACCCTAGATACACGAGCAGGCCAATGCGCATTATCGAACACTGGCCGTGAATATATAAAGCGAATTTATTTTGCTGTGTATCGAAAGTAAACGGCCTAGACCTCGGGCCACGTATTGCCTACGGGCTGCCTAGGCCTCGGGCGCAACGCACCTGCTGCAACGCGATAATGGAGTCAGGAAAGACTTAGAGACGACTCATCTTGGCCGGCGCGAGGGCAGCAGGCCTCGATAGCCGACCAGCCAGGCTGCGGTCATTTAGCCGTGGAAGTTTAAAGGGACCCTCCCACCTTAACATTAGTTTTGAGTTGAGATAGCCAAATTGGTGGCCATGGCCTGAAAATACCGGTTTGGGCATTCACAACATCGAAAAATGCTTTAATTCGGAGATATGGAATTTCAAACTTGCAGTTTTCGGATTCTAAGGGGCTAATGCATTGGTATGCCCCCTTAGAATTTGTGACGTCAGCGTAGATCTAACGATTTTTAAATCTTTTACTAAAACGTTTGGCAGCACGCGGTGGTATATGCTGCTTTGCGCGCAACAAATGCCGCACTTTCAAATAAAGTCGCTAGGAACAGCGGAGATCCCAAAAAGTAAACAAAAGTAAAAGTCTAATATCTTGAAAACCGGTGAATATTTTTCGATGAAATTTGGTAGATAATCATTTTTGCTCTTTCTGAACCGAGCGACATCACTTTCATGCCAATTCATTAACTTTTTTGAAGGTGGGAGGGTCCCTTTAATAACACCTGACGTCGGTGACCTACTCTGGCGCCTGTTCGCCCGGGTTGGGCCGGTGTTTGGGAAAGCAGCACTGCAGCCAGACTAAGGCTGGGGGGATCCGTGCTATCGTAAGTTATATCGGACGTGGCTGCGAAACTTCTCTCGGTACGAAACTTCTCTTGATCGGAAGAAAATCGGAGGGATGAAAAAGAAAGAGCGGCAAATCGGAGCTACGTTGTACGTAAGTTGTTTCGCAGCGTTTAAATGCCAGTTTTACTACGATTTAAATGCCAAGCAGATCAGCTGACCTCGTAGTACCATGTCGATAAGGTCGAATTCCCCATACGTCTATAGTGTAAAAGTGACCCCTATTGCAAATGGGCTGTCAGGGACATCTCCTCCTCTGTAAATTTGGAGGGATCATGTGTCGGCATTCCCACGTTCGTTTCGGAGTCCATCTGTTCCATTTGGAGCCCGTCAGTTGGCGTCAAGAGTTGGCGCAGCGAGCGCCCCGAAGACTGCGTCTGCGCACGAGGCTTCGCGATGGAGGAGTATTTTGACGAAATCGCCCTCGCTGCAGAAGAAATAGAGGGACTTGTTGAGAAAGAGGAGGCCGCAGTGTGCCGACGACTTTAAACTGTACGCCAACGCCAAGACCAAGGCAATCAGGGGGCGCTCAGATGATCGGGAGGTCTCAATTGATCAGGGACCCACCAGGTGACCAGGGAACCCTCTGATAACCAGGGGTCCTTCCAGTAACCAGGGACTCCTTCAATAACCCCTCAGTAAACGTGGGCCACTCAGGCTACTGCAAGAGACAGGAGTCCCTTATAACCAGGGACCGGCAAGGTCTCTCAGGTCCGTTTTTGACAAAGCTGTTATTGATGTCATATGCGAGCCCTTTGCCACCAGCAGAGGGCCCTTTCAAGCCTTTTTAGGGCCGTTTAACGTCTCTTGAGTTTCCTTTGAGGCTAAGGGCCTCTTCAGCAGCCGAGGGGTCTTTGAGGCCTTTTAGAGGGCCTCTTAACGTCAGCTGAGGACCGTTGGACGCCATCTGAGGACCGTTTGGGGCCTTCTGATGGCCAGTATACGCCAACTGAGGGCTCTCTGACACCAGCTGAGGGCACGCTGACACCAACTGGGGGCCTCCTGACACCAGCTAAGGGCGCTTTTATATTTGACACGAGCTCAGGGCCCTTTGACGCCCTTTGAGACCTTCTGAGGTCCGTTTGACGCCAGCAGAGGACCCTTTGGGGTCATGTGAGGGCCCTTTGCTGCCTTCTAAGCGGCCTTTGAGGCTTTTTGAGGGCCGCTTGACGCCACCTGAGGACCGTTGCGGTTGGACTCCAGTTACGGACCGTTTGAGGCCTTCTGATGGCCATTTTGCGCCAACTGAGGACCGGGGGGCCCTCTGACACTAGCTGGGGGCCCTCTGACACCAGATAAGGGCCCTTTAAGGCCTTCTGAAGTCCGGCTAACGCTAGCGGAGGGCCTTTTGAGGCCAAATGAGGGCCCTTTGAGACCTTATAAGGGCTCCTTGAGGCTTTTGAGGGCCGCGTGACGGCATCTGAGGACCGTTGTACTCCAGCTGACGACCGTTTGAGGCCTTCAGATGGACTTTTGGCGCCAGCTGAGGAGGGCTCACTGACACCAGCTGGGGGCCCTCTGACACAAGCTAAGGACTCTTTAAGGCCTTCGGAGGGTCGTTTGACGCGAGCTCAGGGCCCTCTGACGCAGGTTTAGGGCCCTTTGACGCCCTTTAAGGTCTTCTGAGGTAGGTTTAACGTTGGCTGAGAGCCCTTTGAACCCATCTGAGGGCCCTTTGAGGCCATCTTGTGGCCCTTCATTTGGCCATCTGAGGGCCCTTTGACACCAGATGAGGGCCATTTGGCGCTAACCGAGGGCCCTTCGAGACCATCTGAGGACCCGGTGAACCCATCTGTGGGCCCTTTGAGGTCTTTTGAGGGCCATTGAAACTTCACCACAATACCCCTGGCTGCGCTACTGGGCATTTATGGACTCGTATGGGCCTGCTGGGGAACGAGATGGGCCCTCCCGGTCTTTTTAATCATTATTTCAGTTCATTTTACATGGTCTTCGGCGGTCTAAAGATTAGGGGCCCCAACTCGAATGGGGGGAGGCCCGTGTGCCCTCTCCTGTGTGTGGCCTTGCCGACACTACACCGCTTCCCCTCCCTCCGCCATAAACGCACCGCTGCACTGCTAGGCGCCGACAAATACGGACCGGCGCCGCAACCGGCTCCCCCGCGGCCTGCCTCGCGTTGACATAGCCCTTCCCGAACACCAGTGTAACCCCCACGCGGCCTAGGTATCGCCGCGCCCACCTGTCCGCGGCGCGGCCTCTGATAGCGTATCGGATCATTGATGGTGCGATACATGTTTTGGTCAGATTTTCGCAATTAACGCGAAAAATTGCCCAAAACATTTTTTAAATTTCAAAATTGAAAAAAATAATTACAGAAATGACGTGAAAGTGACCGTTTTCAACGTGTAAATTTAAAACGCTCTAGCGCAGCCATTTTTGAAGAAATCGACTTCAAATTTTGCACACGTGTTCATCAACCATATTTGTTTAACATATATTTCGGTTTTGTGAAAATTTTGAAAATTTCTTATATTTTTCTCTTGAGAAAGAGGTAAAGCTTCGCTACGATCGGCCTTCCGATCGACCGAGAAGATTCGTAAAGTTAGTTCGTATCTTCACCATTTGCGATACAACTTGCGTATCTACTTAGCCTACGATGTGATGGATCCCTCCAATATCTGTTCCGATTCAACTTACGTTTGATCGCAACTGCGAGGTGCCTTGCGATCACATGGATCCCCCCAGCCTAAAGCGTTCTGTAGCGAGCGGTTCCTTCTGGACGCCGTCTCGACATCGTGCCTGGCTCCTTTGTAGTGTTGCAGCAGGCGTGTTTCGCCCGAGGGGACGGGCAACCTTCGAGTACCGTTATGGTGTTGAGACCGGGCTGTCAGCCAAGCGCCGTGCCAATGTACAAATGGTGCACGCCGAACTACGGTCTATCGTATTGGTGATCGCCGTTCTCTGCGTACATTAGCGCTGGAAATTCAGCATGCATCTGCTCAGCCGCATTGGAATTCAGCCATTACGTGTGTTCGTTGATAGTATCGTCTCTTGGGAAGGTTAGGAGTTACATAATTACTCCTCCCCCTCCCCCACCCTGAGCGCCTGACGTCTGTCCAACAGAGTCGGGTTTTTTCCACTCGGCCCTGGAGCCGGTTGTTACGTCATTTGCAAATGCAGAGGGACTATGGAGACGGGACAGTCCCTGCTGCGGAGAATATGACGGGAGATTTCGCGAGGTGACGTGATGCTGGCTTAGAAATCGCCAGATTTCAGTCAGCTGTATGCAGAAGGCGGATTGAGCCGGTTGAGAAGGAAGGACGTGGATTGAATGGGAACCGGTCGGAGTGTAGTGTAGTTTTAACCGGTCAGGTTGTAGCGTGGATTGAACCGGTCGGGTTCCACTGGTGTTGTGGATGGAGCCAGTCTGACGAACTGGAGAGGGTCGGGTATGATAAATCGATCTGGCCCCGGTGAGCTAGTACGGTGTGGCTTTAGCTGGTTCGTGCAGCTCGATTCTGGGAATTGGGAGTCACACGGTCGATAGGTCTGTGTTGAGTGTGGCCCGTTCCGCCCGAGGTCATGCACTATTCCACGGAGTTCCAGCTCGTGCTGGCCGAAAAGGTGAAGCAAACACTGGTGGACGAGGAGCGCTGCTTTTGGTATTTCCTGCTTATATGATATTTATTAACATTAGAATGCAATTTCCACTGTTCTGTAGTCTTACAGTTTTATAATACAGTAAGTTCTACAGTCAGTTACAGTTCTGTAATACAATTATAATCACTCGAAGTGATATACCACAGTCTGTTCAGTGCTCCGCTCGTTTGATGTGACGGCTATTTAGCTGGATACGACAGCCCCGATGTGTACACGCACCCCGCGAACCCGGTCCAGTGTTGAGAGGCGATGTGTTTATCAGCACTCTGTTCTGGAGGGGGTGTGTTGGACCGTTGACTAAAGACAGACCGTTGTGATGGTTCGGGCAGTGCCGGGCTGTTGACCGAGAGAGGCCCCTGCTCTGGGGGCGGGGTGGGGCAAGCTGATGACGGAATTGAGTTATGGGATCTGTCAGATGCCCGTCCAGCACTAACAGGACTGAGTTATTGGCGCAGCGTGGTTACCAGGTGCTCGACAAGCAGGCTGTTTGTTTTGTTTTGCTGGTTGGATTGGAATGCTATCTGCCGTCAAGGATCCATGTGCCTTAGAGTCAGACCGTGCGTCTTGCCTTAGTCTGGGCCCTGTAGGATGGACACGTTTCAGTGCCCCAGTTCATTGCCGTTTGGGCTCTCTTCTTTTTCCACGCACATATAGCTGCTCCAGCCTCCAGGTGTGGATCGAGTGGCTGATTATCGCCGGCCGTCTGACCCAGCGTTCATCTCCCTGGCCTTGGCGGGTGGCCGGCGGACGCGGAAGGATGCCGGCTCGGTTTCGGCATCATACAAGGACGGGGGCGGTGCGGCGGTGAGCCAGCCGCACTCCCGGGCCACTGACGCTGAATCAGGGTCGGCTCGGTCGGTTCAGCCGGCCATTGGTATTGATATTGGCAATTTACATTGGCCGGGTGTGTGTGGAAACCCGAAACAGTACCACCGGAAGGATCTACTAGCCAAACCCGTGACTTGCGGCCGGGCTTACATCAGCTGCCGAGCCCCCGGGGCAATGCCGGCGGAAATCACCTGACCGCATTGTTTACGACTGAGACGGGCTTTGGCCAGTTGCCGGCACTGCGTTGAGTAACCACCTGTATCGGCTGTCTTCTACGACGTCTTATGGGTTATACCCTGCGGTGGACGGTCGATTGACTCCGTGTTGAGGATTCGCCCTAGCGTCTTTGCCGACGTTTTAGGGGGATATCCAGCACTCACCACAGAACAGCAAAGTGAATAAGTTTACAAACGGATTTGCTGTCGACGTTCAATGCGAACTCCGTGTGTATTGCGCCGTTGTTCGTGGTTATTTGCGGCTCTGTGTCGATGGTGACGTGCATGCTGAAAGGGGACGTTGCATCACCCTGCAATAAGCTCCATGACTCTCCATTCTGTGCAGACGGCGGGTGTTCGCTGCGATACGGCATCCCCCAGTCATTAGTCACAGCCTGCCATGAGCCCCTGTCTGTGGCCATTCTTATAAAGAAAAGAACGGAGGGACGCTCCGTCATTTCTGAGATTAGACGGAATTTGGTTATCATAAAAGGACGAAGACGAAAGACGGAACCCGTTAAAAGAACGAAGCCAGATTGACGCTACCCCCACCCAAAAGGACGCGTTTCCGTATCATAAAGAGACAAAGACGCCTCTGGTGACGTAAGACTTTGCGTTGTTCGTGAAAAATAACGCATCAGAAATAGCGCTGCTCTTCAGCAGCGCTTTTTTACGGCATTGATACGATATTTAGCTAGTTGCGAGAGCAACTTGTGCGAAATGTGTTTCAGGCTGCGTGCTAATCGATATGTGAACTGTATGACATTGGTCGGGAGTTATTTCACACGAAAATTAGTCAATTTCACATGCAGACCAAGTACCTATAGACCGCCACCTTATCGTTCTGCAGCTATCGTTGTTTATCGGGCATACACATTAACAGGCAGGATTGGACACCTTGAGATGCAATATCCAGTAAGTGGTAGGTGTTTACTGTTTGCAACTGCCTCCCAGTAGCTCCACCCTCACCTGGCCTGTGTCCTGTGTCCTCTGGCGCCTCGACTGGTATCACGGTTGGAGGTCTGAGTCACGTGGCACTACAACTTCTCGTTAGCACTTAAAGTTCTTGTTTGCACGCAGAGAAATTCGTATACACTCCACCACGCTCAAGCGCTCTCGCTGGACTGTCCTCGCTGTCCCCACACAGAGAAGATCCACAGGCCATTTCTTCCCCCGCTCCCCCTCCCCCCTCTTTAGTGTCAGTTCGTCAAAACAACACCTGCGCCCCCCGTCTCTCTCTCTCTCTCTCTACCTACTCCTTCCCTCTCTCCCTCCCTTTCATCCCGAGCCGCCGCGCGCCGCGTCGTCCCCTTGAGCGAAAGATGCCTTATCAGTATCCCCTCCTCTTTTATCTCTGCCGCTTGTCCCGAGCCGCCACGCTAACTCAGGGTGTCTGCGTTGAAACAATCTTTGGTGGGTTTCAGCCTAGCAGGAAAGACTACAACATATTACATACTTCGCCTATCTATATTATCCTTGATCGTAGCCAAGGCCTCTGGCCAAGGCTATGTATCGTAGCAGACAACAGTCCCCGGTCCCATAAAAATTCAAATGTGATCCCAAATAATTGCAGGTTCTCATTTTATTATACCCATATAGCGATCACACAGTATTTTCTTAGTCTTATTGCATTCTTTGTGACGAAATTTATAAGAAAATATTGCAGGAAATAATTCCTGTTTCATTTACTAAAGCTCTTGATCATTTAGACGAAAAACGCATCCTAGCAAAACAACGAAGGGGGAGGGGTAGAGGGACGGAACCTTTATGATAACCAAAAAGGACGGAATCGTTTAATTCATTGAGTTCTTTTTTTCCTTCCGTCCCTCCGTCCTTTTTCTTTATAAGAATGGCCTCTGTCCGCCATAACCGGTCCCACAGCCCCGGAGCCCGGGGCCGTCCCAGGCGGGCGCCGTGTGCGCAGCCGCCGCCAGCCGTCCCTGACACGCAGCGATCGGTGCCAGGCACGCACACTCCCCCCCCCCCCCGCCTCTTCCCCGTCCCCACCGGCCCACGCACAAAGCGCCAGGGGAGCGGCGGCAGGCCGCTCTCGCCGGCCGGACGCGCAGGGGTGACGCCAGGCGGGGAGTCTAGGGGGTATTGGGTGCTGTGCGAAACGCTGCGGGCTTGGATAGGAATTTGTTCATGGCGGGTAATTGAAATGGTGAGAAACGGTTATGGTGAGAATACGAGTCATATCTTTTATTGTGTTGCATTGCTCATTTTACGTTGATTGCTCGTAGGTAGCTATGTTGTTACAATCATCATGTAATAGCATTAGCTCACCGTTCCTTGGTTTCCGTTTCAGCATTCTGCCGTGAGCCGTCATTAACTCCCTGTTGTTCCGCTTGCTGTCATATTTATTATGCATGTCTCTGTTTTCAGATCTGCGACCGTGGCGGCGGCGTATCGCGAGCCACCTCGGAGCGTCTGTTCCAGTACCTGTACTCGACGGCGCCGCGTCCTCCGCAGGACCCCAGCACTCCGCCGCTGGCAGGTGGGTCGCTGGGCTCCCGTACTGAGCACTGTGCCTTCACAGCCGGTGGGCACACCACCCAGCCTTACATGCAGATTCAGTCCGTACCGCTCTTTGCTGTAACCACATCGCTTAGCTTCACTGACAGGCGGTACCTTTTAGTCTTCCCCTACCCCTCGATCAGACCAACTGGTAGGCAGGTAACCTCTGACCTATCAAAAAGAGATCGTTACCGGCTTTCGTCCGTCTCTGAGCAGTCGGCTGTCGTGACGGAGCTGATTGGAAGAAGCCCCCCGCTCCCGAGACTCTCAGGTAGGATCTACAGCTGTGCCGACCGATCGGGCTATGACGTGCGCCGGGCTGGCTGCGGGTCGATCGGGCGGCGGGCTGGGACGGTCGAGTGAAGCTCCGCTTTTATTGGACCTTTGCACCGCTGACGTGGCACCGGGAGTCGAAAGGGCGTCTCTGCAGCGCAGATGTAGTCGGAGGAGCGGCAGTGGGCACGTCTCACGGCGGGGGAATGGTTTGTGTTCGAATTCCTGCACGGTCTGGAGGCTCCAACATTTCACTTTTGTTTAGTAGAGCGGAATGCAGAGTGTGATTTATGTGAGCTGGCGTCCAAATTGCACGTCGGTATTGATGGATCGAGGAATACGGATGGTTCATATTTAACCAAACGAACACTTGTGCATTTTTCATTGAGTTGACACTGAATCGAGTGTGAGTGTCTTTGAACGCATCCATGCAGAAACCCGACTCGAAACGCTGTTTATTTTATCGAGCTACATCATAACTGCTGCAAAGACACACGTCAGTGCTGCACGTTTTCATCAGCTGCATTCCTTCTCAGTACCCGCTGTTGTTTTGTTTATCACCGCTAACGAACTAAGCGGACAACCTGTCCGTTATCAGCAGGGGAGGGGCAGCATATTTACTCTGTCACCGCGGGCGGCTCGTCACGACAAACCGGATCAAACCAGCCTACCGACCGGCCAGCGTGCCTGTTCGGTAGGGCTCGCACCCTGCCCATCTCTGCCACCCAGTGGTGGACCGAGCCGACCCCACCTCCACGATATTAACCACACGGTACAAACAGGGCTGCACTTTGCACCGCGGCGGACAGACAACCGCCCGGCAGTTGTGATAACTGGCCAGATGATTTAACGGGATGTGTGTACATATGTTTGACTTTCGCCCTGTCGTGGAAGAGTCGCCGCGTAGTTCAAGGCTGGGCGGGTCAAAGGGCGCTGTGCTGTGGTATTCATCACTGATAAAACATGCTAGTAGTTGACACTGAATAAATGCGCATCAGTTTTGATTGGTTTGATTATATGTATCAGTTCGGCACACTGCTGTGGTGTCACTTAGTTCGACATCATGATTGATATGAATCGTCATCGTTTATTTCTCAATTGTCCCGCCTGATTATCATACTATCCGTGTATCTCCATAGTCTCGCCATTCTCGCGATTTTAGCATATCGCACCATCTGTTCCGCCGCCAGGTTACGGATACGGGCTGCCTCTCTCCCGGCTGTACGCGCGCTACTTTCAGGGCGACCTGGTCATCAACTCGTGCGAGGGCTACGGCACGGACGCCACCATCTTCCTCAAGGTACGAGACGCCGCAGCTGCCCTTCAGGTCGACCTCTAACCGGTGACAGCCAGTGTGCAGAGATGATGATGATGACATGAACAGTTTTCTAGCTTCTGGCATGGGCTATGATGACTTGCATGTTACCGGTTTTTCTCCGACTTCTCATCCTGCTAGGCAGGTTTTTGAAACGTATTGCGTAGTTACGAAGAACTTCATAGGGCGTCTTTTCCACTGGATGCTGGAGTTGTCTTACGTAATGTCGAGTAATGTTTGGCACGGGTGACTGATTGGTATTCACACCGGGCATATCTCGCTGATCGCATCCCCCGACTGTGTTCGACAGGCCCTGGCGCAGGACATGAAGGAGGTGCTGCCGCTGTACAACCGGGCAGCGCAGCAGCACTACCAGAACGGCTCCCAGGCGCCTGACTGGTCCTCCGTGCTGGGGTCCTCCGGAGCGCGACCCCGCTCGACCCCCACCGACAGCCCTCCGAAACCGGCCTCTTCCACCGCGCGGAAACCCAGCCGGCCGGCCTCCGCCGCCGTCAGCAGTCTGAGGAACATCAGCACGGGCAGCGCCGCCTCCGGTCAGGGCCAGAAGGCGGCGTAGCCTCGCGGCTGTCCGGCTGGGTCGGGAGATCCCTGCAGCGTCGGGCTCCGGTCGGTTGAGCAGATGTCGCGGAGAGGCGACTGTGGCGCCGCGGTGACTGAAGCGTCACCTGGATTAGAGCATCCTCCGCTCTTCTTTGACTCGCCGGCGATCAGTGAACTGAAATACTGTGTAATTGTCTGTCTGTTGTCTGAACGATCAGCTAATGGCTGAGGACACTTGGTCTTGGAGTGGTGGAACACAGAAACGGGTCTCTGCGAGTGTGCTTTGTTTGAGCTGTGTGTCATTGGTGTCGTTTGTACTTAGACATGACCGGTCGCCGCTCGTGTGTCGTGTCCATTGTCTGCAGTGAGGTGCGATGGTCGGAATAAGGGAGGGGCGGGGGTCCAGTGCATGGACAGAGTGGTTGGGACGCTCCTAGGCAGAGATCCTATGGGATTGTCCCTTGGTCGTCTCAGGGAGCTCGTATCAGCGGGAGCGGGCCGAAATCTGGCTGTTTGTAAACAATGCAGTGACATGTGACGGTAGCCCGTCGCAAGTACGGTTAGGCGTGTTCTTGTGATGAGCGGAGGCTTTGTATGGAAATACTGGGCAAGGTTTTAAGCCGTTTGTTTAGCTTTTGGTAATGCTTCGTGGATCGAAGCTCAACGCCTTTTAGTTGTGTATTTCGGTCGCTGCCTTTCTTATGCAGGAGTGTATTTACCAATTATGTATGTAAATTGGTTATCGTACAGCTCCGTTCAGCATCAACGTGAGATCCGCCGGACTAGCTGGTGCATCTGCGTTTCGTAGGTCGCCTATCCGTGTCCCAACCTTCTGTAATCGACCCTTGCCGCGATGTTTCCTGTGTTCAGAGCTTTCCATGAATAACCTCGATATTTTTTCACTTTTCTACCATGCCTAGCCTTGAAATTTCAAACATGACATTCGCGATCGGTGTCTTCAAGCATACCATCCAATGACTTGCTCGTTGGGGTATGGTATTTGTCGAGTGCCCACGGGCTTTTATTGCATCGATGCGAATATATTTATTTGCCGGTGTTTTACTTTGTTTGTTTGCCGTTACATCAACACGTTGCACATTGCGCCGCTGCATGTGCTACGCTGCCCCGAATCTTTGTGACTGCGGACACCAGTCTGGATATATCAGATCTTTGTATCTTTTTAAATGTTCAGCGACTTGAAGGATTCCGGAACGGACTATGTGAAGCGAAACGAGATGACTGTAATCGCGACGCCCCGTGTGGATTGTACATGATGGTAATACATCCGTACAAACGTACATACATGATTACATAATTGTGCAGAAAAGCTAGTTTATGAGCTATTCACAATGCTATTTTACATTTAATGGCATTTTAACTCACCAAGAGATGCGAAAAACAATGAAAAAGTGAACCACTAAAATTACTTGCGTGACCCGGCGTGCAGGGGTGTCGTTTTCCGAAAATGATTGGTAGGGCCCAAAGGCGGCGGCCGGCCACATGTGGCGGGGCTTAAAAGGTAGGGTACCCCCAAATCTGCCTTTCTCATCGGATTTCGGCCACTTATTTTTTCGCCCTGGTCATTGACAAGACAAACCAAAATCTAAAAAAAAAAAAACATTTTGGAAGTCTAGGTCCTCAACGAGCTCCATGCACAAAACGTGCAGTTAAATAGGCAGTTATAATAGTGTCGGAGGAATGCACGCCATTCTGAAAGAGGCCCACGCCGACTTAAAAGCACGGCTGTGCTGAAAGGGGCCAGGGACGGTTTTGATGGCCCAAGCCGAATGAAAAAGACGGCTACGGGGCCAGGAACGGCTTTGAAGGCCCACGCCAATCGCAGGGTACGACAACTAACGAGGTCTCGAAACACCACGATAGTTAGAAAGACCTGCTTGCCAAAATAAAAGGATGACGGTACAAGCCGGCATTCAGAAAGTTACATGCCCGACCATGAAGAAGCAGAGAGATACGTCATCGACTTATCAGACAAAAAAGTTCATTTATTCAAATAACCACCGCTAAGACAAACACATTTCGCGCAGCGCTTCGGCCTTCGGGAGAGCCCTCAAAAGTCTCCATAATCAATTGGGTTTTGGACCCATCCCACGTCCAAGACGGCTGCTTTAGTCTCCCTGCAGTCAGCGAAGCTGCCACTGCTAATTTCCTTATGTTGGGGAAGAGGTGGCGGGCGCAAAATGACCACCGCAGTCGACGCGCCCGTAAACCCCAATGAACGAACGAAGCCAGAGGGTGCAGGGTTCGGAAAAAAGTGGATGCGACAACAACTCGAAGCCACATTTCATCACTTAACTTATCGTCACCCCGCGCAAGTACGCAGGTGCGTGGCCGTGGATCAATTGCACACTTTATGTCAGCTTCCCTATAGCCTCTCCTCGATGTCTATCGAATGGACGCACATCATCAATTGTGCGCCCCTGTTTTAGAAAATTGACAAGCAGAGCCCCGTCGGCATACCGAAATGTAACCACTATCACTTTGCCGACTAACTTCAACTCGTACCACTCATTTGGTGGCCGTTACTCGGTGTGCACTGTGCTTCCACTTGCGCAACTCGGCACGGTGTCCCTTAGTGTCAACGTGTGACGCCCACAATTTCTTTACGGTGACAAGTCAATGATATCTTCTAGATATTCGATAAGGGGCCAAACACCCCGCTAAGCCTCCTTTCGAGCTTGCCTTTTCTCTGCAGTGTCAGCAAACGGGGGATACATCTTGCAGAGATCTTAAACATAGCATGATAGATTCCAGTGGCGTAGCCAAGTGGGGGGGGGGGGGCACAGGGGGCGCGTGCCCCTCCCATCGGGTCCAGGGGGCCCTTCGGGTCCCTGCGGCGCCAATCGGCCGCTGAGGGTCCACGCTGGCCATATTTCGTCTCAAAGGGACCCCACAGGGCTCGTCAGAGCATCTCATGGGCCCCTAAGTGGCGTATTAAGATCTTCGTAAGTGCCCCACGCCGGCTTCTTAGAGCCCTTGTCACCAGTTAAGGCCCTAAGAGGCCGCCAAGGGCCCCTTACCAGCCTGCCCCTCACGGTCTCTGAGAATCTCTTGCTGGCCTCTGAGGGCCCATTGGTGGCCTTGGCTCTGAGGGCGCATTGGTGGCCTCGGCTCTGAGGGCCTATTGGTGGCCTCTGAGGGCCCTTACCGGCCTATTAGGAGCCGGCTCTACGAGCTGCATGCCCGCCTGTGATGGTCCAACACCAATTCTCTTAGGGCCCCAATAACTGTGAGGAGTGCCTCTGATAGCCCACACCGGCGTTTCTGAGAGCCCACGCCGGCGTTTCTGAGGCCCCTTCTCCCCCAGTTCTGAGGGTCTTCATCAGAGGCTCCTAAGGCCCTACACCAGCGGCTCTGACGGCTCCACTGAGTCCACACTGGTGACTCTGAGGGTCCCAGTGGCGTCTGAGAATACTATTCCGGTCTAAAGGGACCCCCTCGGCGCTCCTAAAGGCACCACCGACCTCTGAGGTCCCCTTGTCGTCCTATGAAGGGCCCGCACCAGCACTCAGCTCAGCAGCTCTAAGGGTCCCACGCATATATGTGATGGCCATAAACCAGTGTATCTGAGGGCCCCGAAACGGCGCTTAAAGGGAGATTATGACTAGAGTTGCAAAGTTTCCCCCAAAGGCTGCTACCGGCACCGCCCCGCCCCACAAATTTTTTTTCGGGGATACCGGCATGCTACCACGCCCAAAGCAAAAACACCACCAAATTACCGACATGCCCTGGCATGCCGGTAATTTGGAATCAACCTGCATTGTTGATTCCAGTTTACCCCTACAAGAGATGCCACATTTTCCTCTTAGTGTCCAAAGTTTGAATCATATGCTAATAATTTTTTTTTTGTGCAAAACCAAAAATACCGGCATGCTACCGGCAAGACATGCCAGATACCACAAAAAACCTGCGGTAGTGAAAAATTACTGGCATGCCGGTAATGCGGTAGGGAAACTTTGCAACTCTAATTATGACCTTTTTCCACAAAATCTGAGTTAGGACCATTTTCTGACAAAACACAACAAGTTATAATGTAAATTAAAACCATTTTGCTCAATTCGGTACCTTGCCGCAAATATCTCAACTTGAAGTCACGTTAGCGGGGAGCGCTGAAAATGACCGTTGAATAAGTACTTACATCACTTTTTGGTACTTGCATGTAATTTTTTAAAATGAGCGTATTCATTACATTTGATCTTCATCACATCTAGTTAGTTAATGGTCGTCTATAGTGCCTTCAAAAGATATTCATGGTTTGGGGGTGGTTTATGTCTAAATTTACGCAACTATTTTTCCTGTTCATCATCTGTCGCCATATGCTGCTATTTTAGTAGCAACGACTCAATTTTGAATCGGTCCCGCCGACTGCACAATAAAAGAAGATAGATACAACACTTTTGCGGCATCACTGAAAAACCTATGCAGTACTGTTATCAAAATTCTCATAACACCGTTCGACAAACCTGAAGTCTTTTTGAAATAAATATGCTTGTATTTTTCGCTTCAGGCTCTGAGGCCAAAATAATGAATTTCGTAGTCGCAATCGCAAGATTTGGCTGCGTTTCTGGCGCTTGCCGTTCATTTGTGGCGCAAAATAATACTTGGAAACAAAGAAGAGTAGGCACTATGTACCCCCGAATTAGAATCTAATTAATTCTAAACCGAATTAACTCTAATTCAAATTAGAATCCTTACAACCAAGCAACGACAAGGCGATAACAAACAAAAACCCAAGCGTCGCTGTTTGAAACAAAAGCGTCATATACTGCGACTTTTTTATAGAGAAGGACAACGCATTTCGGCGGGTGTTACAAGTACTGCAAGTACTGCTTCTTTTTTGCAAAAATAAAAACCTTTTCACATACGACAATGTGCTAGGAAATTTTCATATTTTATAGAAACTACAGTAGAAATAGTATAGATGTCGAGTAATTTTTATTTAAGAAAAAAGAAAGCTCATTATCTTATGAGAAATATCGTTTCCGTCTGCTCTGAGCGGCTAATCGGCGACACTCATTATTTCCAGCGACGGGAAGCGCCCCGTCAGTCGGCCCGGAGACCAAGGCCGACCAACCGGCGGCGGCTCGCTCGGTTCCTATCTCGCTGACCTCCACCGTTCGCCCACAGCAAAAACACTCGGCGAGGGTTAAGCATGTAGGGAAGGTTAGATCGTGAAAAACTGAACGTGGGATCAGATAATGGGTTGACGACACACCAAGGGCAAACGACTGTCGGAGAGGTATAAAACGGGCGCCAGACGCAGCAGCGGGACACTCCTCACACAGTCCACACCACGTTCGACAACACCCACTCTGCAACACTCCACTCAACATGCACAAGTAAGTACCTACGTAAGAATGACTCAGACCAGACGGTCTGCCCCAGCCAGCTCTCTTGGAGCTGTGCTGTGGGGACAAGGTGACGTGACGTCTTCTAGGAAGTCCGTTTAACTTGCCGAACTATTCGGTATATGGTTGAACTGTTTGTTTTGTCTTTCGGCTAATCATTCGGTTATCTCTTTCGCCCTTTTTTGGTGACCGTTGACCGCCGTTGTCCGGTCTCACTGCGCTGTTTGTGTTTCAGCCTGCCCGCCATCATGACGCTGACCAGGGAGCCGATTGGCTCGGCTTGGCGACAGCAGGCTGTTCTTTCGGCACTCTTCCGGCCTCTCCAATATCGGCATACTCGAGTGCGATAGCAACTCGAGTGGGACTGATTTTCGGTCTTCTTTCGACACTCTTCCGTCTTCTTCGATATCAGCCTGTGCTAATGCAACGGCTATTCGTGCAGGACTGATTTTCGGCCTTGTCTCGTTTAATGACTCGATCGCTTCCTTTTGACATTTTGGTTTCGACCTTATCTTTTGGCTCATTTCAATATATCTACTTTTAACTCATGTTCACGTCTGTATGGTGGATGGTGTTGGGAACGAAGGAGGGAAAGGATCCAGAAACACACATATATCGATCGCGTTTTCATCAGTAATACCCCTAGACAGCATATAGAGTAAAAGATTGAAGAATATAATCCCCTAGACAACACATAGAGTAATATAGTGAAGGACACAATCCCCTAGACATACCTAGCGATAAGAGCAGCATAGCAGCATATACAAAGGGACAACTTTCAAATTACATTGGGGGCTCGTCCGGGATATCAAACTCTGTTCTGCTCGAACAGGACCCTGATTGTATATGCCGTTGATTCATTGCATGTTCTTGCTTGTAAAGTTTTCAGGTTCTTTGTTGTTCCAGAATGATTCGTGGATCTTCGTTGGTGTAGCTTGCTGCTCGTGATTCGTAAACTTTCCGTTTCACCGTGTTCGTGAAACATGAATTGACTGGTCAAATTTGTGTATTTCCATTTCCAGTTACCTTTATTTGATGGCGAATGGCTCGAGTTCCAGACTCTTAGGTTCGCCAGGCCAATTGTTGGTCCGCATGCTGCATGGGCAACCTACATCGGACGCACCGTCGAGGTCGCCATCTCTTGAAGTTCATTTGATTCAGGTTAGTCTTGCTTACTTCTGTGGGTCTACTTACTTTGCCTTCTGGCGATACGCTACTCGGTCGTATACCTCGCAAATCAATTCGTTCGCATCGTTGGCATGACAGCAAATGGCTATTTAACTCATGGTATAAATGAATGTCCAGATATGCTCTATGGATTACATCCATTCGATTCCTTTGACTTGAATATGTGTTCGGATGATACTTACTTGGTATAATTGAACTTTATTAAGAAGTTGCCCGTAAGGCGCTCATATAATGCCGACTTGGTGTTGTTGAGCTGGTCCGCTGGTTTGCTCTGATAACATCGACTTGGTGTTATTGAGCTTTGTCTTGACCTTTAATGCTCAGATGTTACTGACTTGACTTTAGGGAACTATATAACACTGACTTCGTTGTCATGGGACGTTCTGGTGATACCGACTTGGTGTCATTGAACTTTGGGGTAGTTGCCATAGGATGTCAGTGACCAGGTGCATGGCAGCACAGTGGTCAGCTAGCGTGTTCGCGGCAATAACCATCCACAGATAAAACAACGCGAGTTCGATCATCTGATCGCCAAACCGGATATACCATTCGATCAGCTTTCAAGATCGCGGAAATATCCCATGATCAAGGTTCCGGAGTTCAGAGGTTCGTTGTCAGAGGTCAGTTGACATAACCTTACATGGCCCTGACACAGTCCGAAGTGTCATTGTGACTGAGTGGATGGACGCCTCGCTGACATGATTAGATATTCATGTGGGATTTCAATTGTTCTCCTGGTTGGTCGCTGATAGAGTCTTATTGCTAAGTTGTTGACAGATGTTGACAAAGTACATTGTACAAGATTGGCTCAGTGTTTCATAACTTGAGATGTCATTTAAATTTGAGAGTACGACCAATTTGTTCGTTGACATTTTCTTGACACAGGAATTTCCATCTTTCAGAGCATGTTACAGGTTTCCGGTAAGTCGATTTCAGGTCAGGTAGTTCTCTCAATGCTAGATATTTTGTCCCGCAGTAAAAATAAGATATCGTTTTAGACGTTTACGGTCAACACTGGATGGCAATATTTTAACTTCACTTTGGCTCAAATAAGTTTGACTGAATGATAAACGCGAGGTATTTGGCGGGTGATGATATGCTGGGCCAGAAGTGTGATTTTCCGTTAATTGAGTAGGTCGTGCCGTCTACCTACGTCCCTGAGAGAAGGGCGAGTGCTAGGTAGGACGGGCAGCCTACTGACGTCTCTCGGAGGAGGGCGTCACAAGACCGTCTGCTCGCGGGGAGCAGGACGGCAGTCGCGGCCCGGACGCGTAGGAGCTGAGGAGAACTGGTGATAGGGCCTGCCCCACCTATCTACCAGAGTTGAGCAGCATGGCAGAGGGTGGTCCTCTGGGGGTCCATGCCCACCGAACATACACCGGCCGGGTATGGGTGGAAATTCTCGGTCAGCTTACGCTCTAGGCATAAGGGCTGGGCGTGCAGTGACGGGAGCAGCAGGTCACTGGCACATGCGACACAACAATCCATGCTGAGGAGGTGTTCCTAGCATGTGAAAAACGGAACCATTTGAGCGTGTAAGGCGGCAAACCCCACCGCAAGTACACTGCTACCGGAGTACCTATAAAGAGTCGAACACTCCAGCGAGTACAAGGAGAGGCCAGCAGCAAACCCGACCAACAGCTTGCTTGTTTGAAGGTGACGTCGATAGAAAATGTGTCTTATAGGGTGATGACGACTCGATTGCTCGACTTTGTTGCACAGGTGCTGCAGGTACAGCAAACCCGACCAACAATTTACTTGCTTCAGGAGGTGACCGCAGCATCGATAAGGAAGGTGGGTTGTTTTATATCCGAGATAGGATGACTCGGTTGACTTGTTTGGCACTGCTCAGGAGTTGCTGGAGCAGCAACCCGACTTACAGCTTAATGACTTTGGAAGGTAGTCGCAGCAGTCGATCGGAAAGGTGTGATTCACATTCAAGGTTAGATGGTTAGATGATGAATTGGTTGCTTGTTTCATTGCACAGGTGTTGCAGAAGCAGCAAACCCGACCAACACCATAATTACTTTAAGAATTGTACTTCAGGAATTGACCAGTGTCGGATAATTGACCACAGTGTCGATAAGACAGGTGTCTTAGGAAGATGACTCGGTTGCTTTGCTTCGTTTGCACAGGTGTTGCAGAAGCAGCGAAACCGATCGACGTTAACTTGTTTCAGAAGATGACCGCAGCGTCGATAAGAAAGGTGACTTGTTTGCTGTGCTTCGCTGCACAGATGTTGCAAAAACAGCAAACCCGACAAACAGTTGAAATGTGAGTAGACTTCAGGTGACTGCAGAGGGAAAGATAGTGTTTAAGACGGTGGTTTTCGTCTCGTTTTATCTCCATTCCATGGCAGGAGGTAGTACGACTCGAATCCTTGCTTAGCTGCACTTTGCAAGTCATAGCAAGTGCAAAACTCTTCAAGAGTCCATCCCGTGGCTCATCTCCAGAGTAGGAAGAAAGACATAAATGCTTCATGTCCTGCTTCATCGTGAATTACTGTGTGGGTCTTGCAGTTGAGATAACAAGGCAAAGAAAAATAGTAATTCGGCCGTCAGCAGTTACCATGTGAGCTGACTGAAGCCGAAAGGTTTCGATTTCAGCGCAGGAACGAGGCACGAGACGTCCCGAGGGAAGGTCTTTCCAGTAAAGCTAAACCGAGCAGAACCGCAACGGTAAGGGACAATGCAACATTAACGAAATATTTGCTTGATTTCGTTGTCTCGACTTTCGAGTAACACTTAGGTTAATGTTTTTATAGCAAGATTCTGGAGTAGCATCAACTGTGCAAACTGACCACACATTTCCCTGTGGAACGATTTAAAATATGAACCCGAAAGCCTATGCAGTTAGAACCTGCAATCCTATGTGAACTCGTTCAGCACTCATGTGAATCATTTGGCAATCCCAAAGCTGAACGAAGAGTCAACGTCATATTGAATGGAAGGTGTACCAGTTACTGTGGTTGACTTTCGTTGTATTGTCTGCAACAGACACCACGCTGCCGAGTGGAGGTCCTGATGGATTTATCCAACCCTGCATGGAGCGTCACCGTCTCGTGAGTGACCAGCGACGATGATGTCAGGTCACGAACAAAAGTAAGAACAACCCTTGAGATCAAAAGATCAAAGCCAACGGGCATGTGCTCACTTGTTAAAGTCAAGCAGACGAGTTTGCTACAATCTGCTTCAGCGTATGCATGAAGGTCGTGATAAGGGTCAGTTGGTGCTCGAGGTATAAGTTGTGGTGAAGCAACAATCTTGTGCATTGCCTTGAAACTAGATCCAGCGACATGGATCTGTGCAGACCAAAAGATGCGCGGGCCTAGAACCGGCATAGACAATAGGACAAACTGCTCGTGTGCTGCGATGCTTGCATCGTCTGGTCCCTCCCAATGTCCTCAGGTCATTGGAGCCAGCAGCAGAGTGCGTCCTACACAGGTATCGGAGATACCAAAAGGTCTACAAGCACCACCATTCTCTCGGCATGTCAGATTGACTTCAGCCTCAACACCTCACCCGAGCCCTTAGGACCAACATCTCGATGCTGAGTGCTGCCAGAAGTCGGAAACGCATCCTTCTGTTCTAACGGAGGCAAACGATCACTCGCCCGTCGGTTGTAGCTTATCTCCTCCAGGTGTGGCGGCCATAAAGCAGACGGATGGACCCATCACGTTATCACTCGTGAGTTTTTAAAGTCGAAGCCCGTATTGGGAATCGTTAACAAGCGTACCCTTTACATTGCACGACTGACGACATGCTCCTTTGTAAATCGTTTCCGGTAAACCACGAAATTCCCATCCCAGAAACAGTCCACAGGTCAGTAGCAAGCAGATGTGGTTCCCAGAATAGCTTAAACATAAATGTAAATGCGTATTGATTGCCTTCTTCCAGGATTTTGTATCCGGTAGCGTCAGCACAACCATGGTGCACTGCTAAGGATTATGTAAGTCGTAGGGACTTATGATTTTATGGCCAATCAAGCTATTTAGTAATTATGTACTTTTCTAGTGTCATATTTGACAAAAGAGTTGTCAAAAGAGTAAAAATAGTTTGAGATAGAGTGGTCTCATTTACCTTTGCCTTAAAGTCAAAATGTGTCGGACTCAGTCAGACTGTAAACATGAAATTACATACGTATACCCGTTCACCCCCTAAGGTTACAGTTCTTCGTTCGCCGTAAAAATGGGAGGGATATGAGAAATATCGTTTCCGTCTGCTCTGAGCGGCTAATCGGCGACACTCATTATTTCCAGCGACGGGAAGCGCCCCGTCAGTCGGCCCGGAGACCAAGGCCGACCAACCGGCGGCGGCTCGCTCGGTTCCTATCTCGCTGACCTCCACCGTTCGCCCACAGCAAAAACACTCGGCGAGGGTTAAGCATGTAGGGAAGGTTAGATCGTGAAAAACTGAACGTGGGATCAGATAATGGGTTGACGACACACCAAGGGCAAACGACTGTCGGAGAGGTATAAAACGGGCGCCAGACGCAGCAGCGGGACACTCCTCACACAGTCCACACCACGTTCGACAACACCCACTCTGCAACACTCCACTCAACATGCACAAGTAAGTACCTACGTAAGAATGACTCAGACCAGACGGTCTGCCCCAGCCAGCTCTCTTGGAGCTGTGCTGTGGGGACAAGGTGACGTGACGTCTTCTAGGAAGTCCGTTTAACTTGCCGAACTATTCGGTATATGGTTGAACTGTTTGTTTTGTCTTTCGGCTAATCATTCGGTTATCTCTTTCGCCCTTTTTTGGTGACCGTTGACCGCCGTTGTCCGGTCTCACTGCGCTGTTTGTGTTTCAGCCTGCCCGCCATCATGACGCTGACCAGGGAGCCGATTGGCTCGGCTTGGCGACAGCAGGCTGTTCTTTCGGCACTCTTCCGGCCTCTCCAATATCGGCATACTCGAGTGCGATAGCAACTCGAGTGGGACTGATTTTCGGTCTTCTTTCGACACTCTTCCGTCTTCTTCGATATCAGCCTGTGCTAATGCAACGGCTATTCGTGCAGGACTGATTTTCGGCCTTGTCTCGTTTAATGACTCGATCGCTTCCTTTTGACATTTTGGTTTCGACCTTATCTTTTGGCTCATTTCAATATATCTACTTTTAACTCATGTTCACGTCTGTATGGTGGATGGTGTTGGGAACGAAGGAGGGAAAGGATCCAGAAACACACATATATCGATCGCGTTTTCATCAGTAATACCCCTAGACAGCATATAGAGTAAAAGATTGAAGAATATAATCCCCTAGACAACACATAGAGTAATATAGTGAAGGACACAATCCCCTAGACATACCTAGCGATAAGAGCAGCATAGCAGCATATACAAAGGGACAACTTTCAAATTACAATCTCCCTTTAAGAGGGCCCTCACCGGCGACTGTGCAGGTCCCACTCCGGCGCCTCTGAAAGCCCCACACATATGCATCTGACCAGGGGTGGATTTTTTTGTTTTTTATTGGGGTTGCACAGCCCTGAAAGGGCGCCCAAAGCGGTACCGAGGGGCGCAATAGTCCGGAAGTGGGCGCCACCAGGTACGGTCGTAAATTTGGCGTTGGGGGGGGGGGGGGAATTGGCAAAGGGGCCCCTGTAGACCCTCGCTGGGGGTGGTGTGTTAGCTTAACCCGCGTACCGCGTAGGGGGGCGAATATCCGCCCCCTCCCCCTGAAGTTTTTCGTAAGTAGCGGAAAACTTCTGAAACCAATATGAGACCCTTATGATCTTAAATGATCTTAAGCCCGGCTTAAGATCATTTAAGGCCAGTATTGAGATTGACCCTCATAAACCGGGTGAGACCTCGCACAGCAGTATGGGTCTTTGAACTCCAACGTGGGTCTTACGAGACCTGCCTGAGCCATCAGAGGCCAGTGCGGGCCCGGGGTCATCAAAGGCCAGTGCGGGGTCGTCAAAGGCCAGTTCGGAACCTCTGAGGAAGTGTGAGCCCTTGAGGCCAGCGTTGGTCCTTGAGAGGTCAATGTGGGACCCCTTGACTGGTATGGGCCCTAAGAGACATGTGTGGTGCCAATGCGACCCAAAATAGACACAACTAACGACATGGGGCTCTCAGAGACTAGCAGCGGCCCTTAAAAACCTGTACGGGCCAAACAGATCGACAGGGGCCCTCCGAGATCGGCAGAGAATAAGAAGATAGCATGAGGCGCCTATGATGGGCAGGCCCGGGCTCTCAAAGACCTAAATGGAACTATCAGAGACCAGGGACCCTTGGCAGCAGACATGGGCCCTCAGAAACCGATGTGACCCCGATATGGTAATAGACCTTAATGCCGGCCCGTTGCGACGAGATAACGGCCCTCAAATTCCGAAATTCCGACATGGGGACCAACAGAGACTGACAGGGAGCCTTGGAGGACGGCATGAAACGCCAAAAGTTCTTCCTTGGACCCCAGAGACTAAATATGGGACTCTCAGAGTCTGGTGCGGGGCCCTCTGAGGCCTGTTTTGGGCCACCAGGGTCCGGTTCGGTCCATCAGATGCCGGTTATGGCCCTCAAAAGCCGGTTTGGGACCCTGAGTGGCCACTGGCCAGTACTGGCCCTCAAAAACCAGTTGGTCATTAGAGGCCAGCCCAATATGATCCCTTACAGGCCAGTGTGGAGCTCTCGGAGGTCAATGTGGGCCCTCAGAGCCCAGTGCGAGGCACCCAAAGTTCAATCTTGAGCCCTCAGCGACCGGAGTGGGTTCATTATAAGTTAGTGTGGGTCCCTCAGAGCAGCCTCAGGGACCAGACTAACCTGGCACCCCAGAGACCATAAAAGGGCCATCAAGGGCGGTGTAGAGACCCCATAGACCGGCTGGAGCCCATTGAGGCCAGTTTGGGGCCCTCAGAAAAAGAAATGAGGCCATTAGAGGCGTGGACCCCCAGAGACCAGTTTGGGAGCCCTCAAGACCAGTACAGGGCTCTCAAAGGCCAGTTTGAGGCCCTCAGAGGTCGATGCGGGCTCTTAGTGACCGGCACCCAAAGGTCAGTCCTGAAACCCAGAGACAGAAATGAGGCCATCAAGAGATCAGTGTGGGGCCCTCAAAGGCCGGTTGGGGGACTCCTGATGCCGCTTTCGGGCCCTCAAGGGCCAGTGGAGGGCTCTGGGAGGTCGATGTGGGCCCTCATCGGTCAAGGTGGGCCCTTGGAGGCCACTGAAGCGCCCTCAGAAGTCAGGATACTCAAAGACCGGTATGGGGGCTGTTACATAATACCTGGCGTTGGTTTCTTGAGCCTCGTGACAATCGGGTAAGAGCCAGGGCCCCTACGCCCATCGGGGCCCATCGGTTGTTTAAAGGTAGTGTGCCACCTTTGAAAGATTTCCCATTTTATTTTTCCTAGGATAAGAAGCTTCTGTTTTTACCTAATATCGCAAAAAAAAAATCAAAAATGGGCCTGGAATAGTGCCTTTTTCGCCTAAAAGTTTATCGGTTTTTAGATATGTATAACAACTGTAGTGGGCTCGCCTGCAAACAGGCGTCGGCAACAATCGCGAATGCGGCGCACATGTGACAATAAGCAAAGGTCATTATAGTGTTACGACCATACGACGTACGGGAATGAGTTATCAGCTGTCTAATCGTAGACAACACAATGTCGAGCCTTAAACTGTAAGCCTGTATTGGTATTGTTTCTTTTATTTGGCTGTCGAACATTATTTATGGTTTGAAATATGATTTTATGTAAAATAATTGATATGAAAAAGCCGTCTCATAAGTTATGACCCCATTTCACCACACGCAAGTGGCAGAAATGACAATGATCAGCTGACGCATTTTTCTTGGCCGAAGTCAGAGCGCGCAGCCCGACGCACCACCACCGCACCACAAAGTATGAGCAGAAGCCGCGCCCAAAGCCAGGGCCCCGGTAACGTGAGGTAGCCGAGTCAGGGCAGCGTGCGCTGACCCAAGCCGGGGCCGCAGCTTTGGGCGCGGTCTACCGCATCCCCGCGGGCAGCCCCGGGCTATCACATGACACCGGGAGGACGCGCGGCTCCGGCTTGGGTCAGCGCACGCTGCCCTGACTCGGCTACCTCACGTTACCGGGGCCCTAGCTTTGGGCGCGGTCTACCGCACCACCTAACAGGCGTGTTCGAAACCGCAGGAGCTGATGATGAACGGGTTTATCGAAACTTGATTGGATGAGCATATCGGTAATAGCGATTTCAGTGTGTGCATTTATTGTTCATAGTGGTGTGAAATGTGGTTGGGGTACGACCGACAACCCGTCGGGGCGAATTTCGCACTGGGGTACTCAAAATTTGAAGAATTTAAGACGTTTCCATGAGTTTTGAAGGTATGGATAAGTTCTAAATCCGGTTCTCCTTATCTGGGCCATTAACTCCATACGGCCCAGGAAAGCTGGCACACTACCTTTAAGGGGGCAAATTATATGATGGCCATTTGGCCCCTGATTTGTCTTTGGGGGGGGGGGGGCATGGCCCTGATGCCCCCCTGCGACCTCCACTGGGCGGTGAGCGGCGCACCAGGAATCGAAATCCACGATTTTTTTTTTTTAACTGGTCATTTTTGCATGTCCGACAGCTCTACGGCCTTGTGACAGCTCAAGCTCTTGAGAGGAGGGTAGTACCTACATTAGAGGGGGCGGCGATGGCATTTGCACTTGAGGCGGCAGCGCCGGCAGCGCCTACGCTTAGACGGGGCGGCACCTACATTTTATGGGCAGCACCCTAACTTGAGGAGTGGCACCCACGCATGGGGGGGGGGGGCGGCATCTATCTACATGTGAGGGAAAGGCACCTTTATTTCAAGGGGTGGCACCTACACTTAGGGGGTGGCACCTACATTTGAGGGGGCTGCATTGCAACTAGGCCTTAGGGGGCGGCAACTACACGCTAGGGGGTGCCATCTACATTCGAAGGGACGGCACCTACATTTTATGGGATGACCGATGACACCTATGCATAAGTGGCCGGGGCCAACATTTGTGGGGGCGGCGCGGCACCTTCATTCGAGGGGCCGGCACCTGCATTCGAGGAGGGCCGGCACCTACATTCGAGGGGGCGGCACTAACATTTGAGGGGGCGGCACCTGCATTCGAGGAGGGCCGGCACCTACATTCGAGGGGGCGGCACTAACATTTGAGGGGGCGGCACCTACATTCCGAGGAGGGCTGGCATCTACATTCGAGGGGGCGGCACTAACATTTGAGGGGGCGGCACCTACATTCGAGGAGGGCCGGCATCTACATTCGAGGGGGCGGCACTAACATTCGAGGGGGCGGCACTAACATTTGAGGGGGCGGCACCTACATTCGAGGAGGGCCGGCATCTACATTCGAGGGGGCGGCACTAACATTTAAAGGGACACTCCCACCTTAACATTAGTTTTGAGTTGAGATAGCCAAATTGGTGGCCATGGCCTGCAAATACCGGTTTGGGCACTCACAACATCGACAAATGCTTTAATTCGGAGATATGGAATTTCAAACTTGCAGTTTTCGGATCCTAAGGGGCTAGTGCATTGGTATGCCCCCTTAGAATTTGTGACGTCAGCGGAGATCTAACGATTTTTAAATCTTTTACTAAAACGTTTGGTAGCACGCGGTGGTATCTGCTGCTTTGTGCGCAACAAATGCCGCACTTTCAAATAAAGTCGCTAGGAACAGCGGAGATCCCAAAAAGTAAACAAAAGTAAAAGTCTAATATCTTGAAAACCGGTGAATATTTTTCGATGAAATTTGGTAGATATTCGTTTTCGCTCTTTCTGAACCGAGCGACATCACTTTCGTGCCAATTCATTAACTTTTTTGAAGGTGGGAGGGTCCCTTTAAGGGGGCGGCACCTACATTCGAGGGGACAGCGCCTACATTCGAGGGGCGACATTTACATTTGAGGGGGTGGCACCTACATTCGAGGGGGCGACACCAACATTCGAGGGGGCGGCACCTACATTCGAGGGGGCGGCACTTACATTCGAGGAGGGCCGGCATCTACATTCGAGGGAGGGGGCGGCACTAACATTTGAGGGGGCGGCACTTACATTCGAGGGGGCGGCACCTACATTCGAGGGGCGGCATTTAGGTACATTTGAGGGGCGGCACCAACATTCGAGGGGGTGGCACCTACATTCGAGGGGATGGCGCCTACATTTAATGGGCGGCGCCTACATTCGAGGGGGCGGCACCTACAATCGAGGGGGCGGCACTTACATTTGAGGGGCGGCACCTACATTCGAGGGGCGGCACTTACATTCGAGGGGGCGGCACCTACATTCGAAGGGAGCGGCACCTACATTTGAGGTCTGAGGAGGCGGCAACTAGGTACACTAGATAGTTGATGGGTGACTATTGCCTACATGATGGGTAGGGCTCTTTTGAAAGATGGTGCCAAGTCAACGGGTGGCATAGAGTTTTGGGATGGCTCAGGGTTATGGGGGCGGCACCATTCGAGTCGCCCGCCGATTTATTTCAGTTGTAAAGTTGGGGTTGCACAAACCGATGTTGGGGTTGCACAATTCAAAGTTGGGGTTGCACGTGCAACCCCAACTTGATATAAAAATCCACCCCTGCATCTGACGGACACCCACCAGTGACTTTTGCGTGGCCCACACCGGCAATTCTGAGGATCCCACCGGAGTCTGAGAGTACCGTGCCGTTCTCTAAGGACCCCACTGAACTTCTGAAGGTGCTGCCGGCCTCTGAAGACCCTTTGCCGGCCTGAGGAGTGAGGACACCTTGCCGTTCCCTAAGAATCCCCTGCCGGCTTGCGAAGGGTTCGCGACAGCAGCTCCTACGGCCCACAGGCCACACACATCTGTGACGAATGTACATATATGCTTATTTGCTTATCTGTTTATTTTGATTTTTTTACCAAGTGACAAAAGATTGGTAGAGCTCAGCGAACACTGGTAGGGCCCAAATAAACATTGGTAGGGCTCGGGCCCTACCAGGCCTATACAAAACGACGCCCCTGCCGGCGTGACCCCTTCTCCCCTTCCCATTTGCGGTCATGTTTTGAGCTCAACAATAATAAATTAGTGGACATGGCTATTGTGGATTTGGTACAAAAACTGCGCAGCTGTGACATTCGGAAAACTGAGGAGTGAGGACCACGCACGCCGAGATATTCTATTTAGGTCTTTTCTATCCATTATTCACAAAGCACCAAAGGGCTAAGGATTCAGCTTATTGCAAAATTGGCCAAGGAAAGGAAGCAACCAAGTTGTAAGTAGCTACCTACATAATGGTATAGCAATAGCCCTCAAAGGTAGTATCTATGACCGTGCTCAAAGGTCTCAGATATTTTCGGTCGCTTAGTTAGGTACCTAGCTAACGAAAATCTGAATCGTATTTCAATTTATATTGATATAGGTACCCACACGATTTTCACCCACACTACATATTGAGTGTCCAATAAGTTTAGTACCTAGCTGTGGGAGGCCAGAGCTCAGCTAATCACTCAGCTAATTGGTCTGTTAATCACTGAGCTGGAGTGATTAACAGACCAAAGTATGCTGGTGATTGGTAAATTGACTGATCCAGTGTGCTTATTTTGGTAGTCATTCATGAGAGGTGCCCTTCAGTCGGGCGCACTATGGTATCGGCACTCCATTTATAGAAACGTTTCCATTTTTGGAAGAAAGTTCCAAAAATGGAAACGCTAAAAACCAACTGTTCCAAAAATGGAAACGCTCCGTTTCTATTTTCGGAAACGCAAGGAGCACATAAACCTGTTCGGTAGTTTCCGCAACAAACCATAGAATTCCGCATCAAACAAAGGCCACCAATCAAAAGACCGCATTTCGCTTCATAATTCCAATGTTGAACAGAAAAATCGGCTGTTGAACAGGCTTGCACAGTCCACTTCTTTTTGTAAACAATAGAATTTTTCATGATAGGTGAACTTTTATGTGTCATTAATGAAATATACCTCATTTTTTTGTGGAAAAATTTGATTTTCACAAGAATGGCAATTTTTTAATTGACAGACTTGCTGTCTGGTATTCATATTGCTGTAAAGCAAGCCCTGAAATGGCGTGTTGGTGACCACGTGCTCTAGTCACGGAAATCGTCTCTCCGGCTTTGGAAGGCGGTAAGTTGGAAAATGTTTTATACAGATGCTTCTAAGTGGGCAAACTGAACTTCTTAACACCTATTTAACTTACGAATGTGTGAATGTTGGTAGAATGTATGTAAATAATTGCATTAAAGGTCTGATTGATATGTTACAGCTTGTCTGAAGCGATCCAAGCTGTCATCCAGTTTTAAACGATTCAGTTATAAGAAAAAGCGATGACAAGGTGTTATAAATAATTTCTATGGATAGGGAAATGCTCAAACTGCACTAATTGCCCACTTTGCACCGTATTAGTTCAGTAGGCCTTCAGTTTGTGCCTGTTTAAGGCCCATTGAAGAATGCTTAATGAAGCACAGTTTCCATTTTTGGAACAAATGACAAATTTTAACTCAAGCTCTACATACAGCTCACAGATGCAGTAGGTAGGTTATATGAATTTCAACTCTTATTTGCATTTAATTTTTTTAGAAGCACTTTATGCCTTCCTTATTTCTAATAATCCACTCGAATGTTGGAAAAGGTGCACGATCTGACAGCATGGAAATGCGAACTGGAGCTTCTGAACCGGCCTGATAAGGCCGAACTTAACTCCAACCCTACTTATAAAGCCTTGCTTTTCTTGGGAAGCCAGTCTGTTGACTACAATTCAGGGCACATCACTTACTGCAGTCACGCATGCATGCTTGCAACAGTTAAAATATGTTATAATGTGGGCTTCGTTAGCAGTTGCAGCTTAGTAGGCAAGACGGCTGGACAGTTCTGGGGTTTATGTAGGTGCCTAGAAATTGGGGACTTTCCCCAGAAGACACATTTTCGTAAGCATTATTGTACACTCGGGGGCAGATTGATGTTCCACCACTCCCTACCCATTGGGCTCCCATGGATCAGCAGTGGCTGCTGCCAGTGTTGCCTGCCCTCAGCACTGCTCAGCACTGCCTGCCAATGCCAGTGCTGCCAGTCCTGCCACTGCTGACAGCAGCCAGTGCTGAGCCATGGGAGCCCGATGGGTAGGGAGTGGTGGAACATCAATCTGCCCCCGAGTGTACCAACATCGGCTTTCGAGCACTATGCCCAAGCAATTGGAGGACCATTCATACGAAATTTAGATGCGAAGGGAAACCACACATATCGGAACATGTACTGGCATCAATAGCTCGGCCATTGCTTAGCCGGTGTGGGGTAGACAGGCCCACATATGATACTTATGCCTTTTCCTGTGTTGGCACAGTTTCCATTTTTGGAACCTTCCGTTTCCAAAAATGGAACGTTGACAAGGGTTTGCATCAGGGCATCAGATTCGCCATTTGCGTACGAAAATATTGTTGGATTTTACTGCTTTGGGAGAAAACATATCGACGAAAAGACACGCCAGCTGAAAAGATGACGATTAACTTTAGAAATACAGAAATATACCTGCTTAACACGCGCAGTGGAAGGGTTGCGAGTACTACGCCCAGTGGAAGGGGGGGGGGGCGGATGTCGCCCCCCCTAAGATCTCAGCTCCCACTGGAGCTAGAAAGACGAAATTTGGAGGGTAGGTGGGGGCCATGGGGAACTCTGTTGTGTGTGAATTTCATGACCCTAGGTCAATATCTTCAAGGTCAAATGAGGTCAAATGTGGTCAAATCTGCCATATTAGCGACCTTTTTTCGTTTACACGCCGATAATTCAAAAAGTTACCGGCCGATTTTCTTTTTTCTTTCACTATACGAAAGAACAAACAATTGTGAGTATGTATGGTGAATTTCTAGATAATCCAACAATAAATATGGCAGTTAGAAGCCTGCTAAGGGTAAGATGTCGCCGGCTGAAGCGGGATCGGCCGACGCGGGAAACGCGGCAATCACAATTTTTGTGTTTACACACTCATAACTCAAATTTTTATTGGCCGATTTTCAAAATTCTTTGACCATATGATTGCCTGTACATTTCTCAGTCTTCTCACCGAATTTGACGCGAATCTAATATAATCAGCGGTAAGGAGCGCGATGTAAAGACGGAACCGTCCCGCCCCGGCACAGTCTACAATTCAGGCGGCGCGTAACGGCTAGCGCCGGCCGCCGCGCCGCCGCGCCGCCGCGGCGGCAGGATGTTTGACTTTAGACCGCTATTACTAGAAAAGTTGTGAACCGATTTTCTTATTTCTTGCACGAGAAGATCCGCAATTCAATTCTGGGCAGGTAGCCGAAATTTCACATTAATATTATGTTTGCGACGCGAGTTATTGGCGAAAAACAGGAGGGGTGGGCGAAATCCGCCCCCCCCTTCCACTGCGCGTGTTAAAAATTGGCGTTTCTAATTTTGGAACTAGCGTTTCCATAAATGGAACGAAGTGCCTTCCAAATTTGGAAATGTTTCCTTTAATGGATACGTATCCATAAATGGACTGCCGATACCATAGTGCGCCCGACTGCCTTGGGGCTCGTAGCAGCCTGTGTGTCACTGAATTACCAAAAAAGGAATAATAGAAATTGAAAGATGAATTGTCTACAGAACCTTATAATTCACAAGCTACAGGAATGTGAAATATTATTATTACAAAGTGCCACAATTTGTGTGCGATCTCCAGATTTATGCCCCCAGGCCACGTGCCCTGAACGGCCACCCTTATTTTACACAAATAGGTACCTACCTTGTAGCTCTGAGATCGATTGGTTACCATTGTTTGTCCATCTCCCTGAAACTTGACTGTGGGTATGCGGGGTAAGAGCGTATAGGAAACAGCACCGTCTCATAAGCTGGTAGATCTTGAAGAATGCCTACATCTCAATCTGTTGTTTTTCATTAAATGATTAAAAGGTAGATGCTGCTGCAGGCACTTCTTTGTACAGGCTGAGGTGGTAGGGGCTACATAGGTCAAGGGGTACCTAGGTATTAGGTAGGTTTTAAGCAGTTCTCAGTAAGTGTTGGGTTGGCACTAGGCAGAATTTGATTGTGTTTTTTTAGATTTTGTATTTTAGTGAGCTAGGTGAGCTAGCAGTGGCTGCCTCACCATTGGCTCTTTGATCCCTCATTAGCCATTTTTAACAACTCCCCCTCTGCCTCTGGCCCTCTGCAGTAACCAGCCACCGATCCAGCGATGGCACAGCTCCTGAACCGTATCGGCCAACTGGGCGTCGGCCTGGCCATCACTGGTGGCGTCATCAACTCGGCCCTCTATAACGTGGACGCCGGACACCGGGCCGTCATCTTCGACCGCTTCGCCGGCGTCAAGAACGCGGTGGTCGGCGAGGGCACCCACTTCTTCATCCCGTGGGTGCAGCGGCCCATCATGTTCGACATCCGCGCGCGGCCGCGGAACGTGCCCGTGGTGACGGGCAGCAAGGACCTGCAGAACGTCAGCATCACTCTGCGCGTGCTGTTCCGACCGGTGGCCACGGCACTGCCCAACATCTACACCACGCTCGGACAGGACTACGACGAGCGCGTGCTGCCCTCCATCACCAACGAGGTGCTGAAGGCGGTGGTGGCCCGCTACGACGCCAGCGAGATGATCACGCAGCGCGAGGTGGTCTCGCAGACGGTCTCCGAGGAGCTGACGGAGCGCGCGCGTCAGTTCGGCCTGCTGCTGGACGACATCTCGATCACGCACCTGACGTTCGGCCGCGAGTTCACGCAGGCTGTCGAGATGAAGCAGGTGGCGCAACAGGAGGCAGAGAAGGCCCGATTCGTGGTGGAGAAGGTACGTCACGCGGGCGGGATAGTCTGTGTGGGATGTATTGCTTGGAATGGGCTGGAATGGGCGTGCGCAGTGCATCATAGCATGGTTGGGTCTAGTGAGTGTAACATTCAATGATAAATAGTCTGTCCACTGTGTTTGCTGACATAATGTTTTGAATGTGTGTATCTGCTTGAAGTGCCACATAGTTTCAAGATAATGTAAACTCAAATTTCGATGGTTAGGTATCTTAGAAGTCTGGTAGTTGGTACGGACCTGTATGTCCCCTACCTCTCATCCGGCATTTCTCCATGCCACTGCCGCGATCTGTCTCGCTCACCACTGACCGGTCCCCCTTCACGCGCTGTGCACAGGCGGAGCAGCAGAAGCGGGCGGCCATCACCTCGGCCGAGGGAGACAAGGTGGCCGCCGAGCTGCTCTCGGCCGCGTTCGCGCGCGCCGGTAACGGTCTGATCGAGCTGCGACGGATCGAAGCGGCCGAGGACATCGCCTACCAGATGTCTCAGAGCCGGAACGTGGTGTACCTGCCGCAGAACCAGACCACGCTGCTCAACCTGGGCGCCGTCTGAGGTGGGCGCTGACGGGGGAGAGGGAGGGGAGACAACAGGATGGGGCGGGCCAAGGATGGATGTTGCTAGCCTGAGAGGGATCTGACGATAGGTTGGTGCGTTCATCGGCGCGCCGGTTGGGGGATGAGGTCCAACAGAAGGCCAGGGACCGGTATAGCGACTGGTGGAGACTCCGCGGCTGTCTGCTGTCCGTTGTGACGAGACTCCGTCGGCTGTCCGCTGTCCTGTCTGACGACTCCGCCGGACGCCGCCAATTGTCCGAGCTGTCCGAGGCCGTCTTTTGTTCGACGTGACGGTGACTTCCTGCCTGCCGGGGTCGTCAATAGGGATTCCTTCTCAGAGATGTTCGTACCACGGTGCTGAAGACCATGCTGTTGGATATGTGATTAGTTCTGATATCGTGTCGTGCGCGGCTCTTGTCATCAGGATTGTCCTATTAATGTTCCACTGATGCAATACAAGCCTAGAGTGATTATAGCAGATGTGTTGGATAGCAATTAAAGTACCTGAAAGTTGGGTGGAATCGGTGGGAGAAATTGCTATCCTTGGGTGCCGTCCTTCGGTCTCTGTTCCTCTCGTATCGAGCTACCAAATGACGACGAACTCCTATTTTTTATCCCGTTCTGCCGTCTGTGGGTCTGCCGTCTGAACCTCGCTTCTGGAGAGTGGGGAGTAGGTGGTTTTTGTTCTCCCCTGGCATCCTGAAGACCATGTCAGAATCTGATATCCTTGGTTGTCTTTTGTCAGACTGCACACTTTCATGTATGGTTTCCTGAAGTGGTCAGTGTTGTGAATGTTGAGTTCCTAAACATTTTGTAGATTTTGGTTGATTATGTTTTCACAAAAATATGCTAGTCGTTATGAAGTGCATTCCTTTCCAGTCTACCTTGAGTTTCCTTCTAACAATTGCACTTTCTGACCTGGAGACCAGCACAATCAAACGCCATTTCCGAAGATAGCTGTATTTCGTAACGACACCATCTTACAAACACTGTTATTTCCAAACTGAGAAAGCCATGCAGGTTTAGGGCCGGCCGTCGCCCGCGCTGGGCGCTCCGGCCGGGCTGCCGATGCCACTCGGCTCGGACCCACGGCGACGGTTCCACTCCGTCCAAACTCGGCGAGCGTTTCTGACTAGTCGCCCACACCTCCGCCAGTCGCCTCCGTTCCTCTCCGTCCAGTCTATCCATCTGACGGCTCACTAACACTGCCTCTGCGGGGAGCTGTCACGGAGAGTTGTGCCGGTGGAGCTCAGCGGTCGGCCTCAGTCACTGCTCGCGGCGACGTCGGACCGAGTGGGCCGCGGCGAACCCGGCTACGTAGCCAGTTACTGCGGAGCGCACGGCACATGCTGTCAGCTGGCGTGGCCGGGAGGGTAGCTACAGCTACAAACACTAGCGGGGCAGGACGGGGCTGTGGGCGGCATATGGTCGGTCGAAGCACTCTTAGTGACGTGTTCACCGTTCAACGCACGGAGAGGTAATGGATGAGTCCGTATGATCCAACACACTACGCTTGTTTAACGTCACCTCTCTGATGCTTATACGAAGTTACGTAATATGCAGGAATAGTTTAAACGTGGGGAGGAAAAAAACGTTATTAGGTTCAGGCGATAGAGCACATTTATTGATAGTTGCTTAACCCGCACCGTGTTCCACGGGTCTTTTTACTCCCGCTCCCCCATCGATTTTCTTGATATACCCTCAAGGATTGTATACGTTTATACTCCGCACTTTTCTACACCTCGTGCATGACTTATGATGCGTGGGCTGTGAACTAGGAACACATTTGCCCCAGCTGATTAAAGCCATGTCATGTGACCAGCTTATGTGAACTCGCCTTAAAATTAGTAAGCGCATTTGCTCCATTGAGGAAAGCTTCTTTGCGTTTACTGGGCGACAGGTAGGAAAGCCGATAAGCTTTGATTGACACTTATACATGAAAACATCCTTGATGGTGTCGCCTTGACGAGGGAACTGGCGTGATATGCATTTTGACCTCTTGGGGTTTGAATGAGGCTTTCAGTGAAAATTTGACATATAGCGTCCGGTTGTGTCCTTTGCCCAGTGGCACGGTGCGGGTTAACGCGAGTGTCAGCTGAGCAACGCGACATCGAATGCAGACATTCAAGCGATAAAGCAATTAATTTGAAAAGCTACCAAATATGGTAGTGATAAGAACGATCCTATTCCACTGGCTAAGAACTATACCTATGTGAGCTAATTAGATAATTCAAGTGGGATTTGTCCTATTCCGAGCAATGGGTTCTACTCGTCACATAATTTCTAGACGTGCGTGGGTGACAGAATAAAGTGAAAGAAGAAAAGGGAAAGAAAACTAAGAAGAGGGAAAAGTTGTGTCTATATTCGAGAAATAGATATGCCAGCAAGGTACCGGGAGATATAGCATTTGCAATTATATCCAGTTATTTAAAGTTATGACCAGTAAAACGCCTTTTGGGCGAAGAACGAGCGAGCGAGATAGTGAGCCCTGCACGTGCGGAAGGGCGAGAGGGTGCTTCCAACGGGCTTGCGCAAAGCACCCTTCTAACTGGTCGCTAGCGGTGTGCCAAATTTGAACGCAATCGGCCCAGCCGTTCCCAAGATCTGGAAGCGGCATTCTGCACGTGCGCACGTGCAAACGGGGTCCAAAATTACTTTTGCACGGCACCCTACTAACTGGTCCCCAACCGTGTACCAAATTTGAGCGCAATCGGCCCAGCCGTTCTCGAGATCTGGAAACGCCCCCTGCACGTGCGCACGTGCAGTAGCACCCTAACCGTAACACATGGGAATGCATTGCCTGGTGGGTGCCTACCTGTATGCCAAGTTTCAGCGAAATCGCCCCAGTAATTACCGAGTTACTGAAATGGGAACAAATTTGGCACCTCTTATTGTTGTATTTTGCACGTGCACTGGGGGTGACCCACATGCATCGAGAGTATCCTATTTTGTGTAGAAGGGATGCTGCTGCCCTACAAAAATTACCGCAAGTCAATCGCCCAAGCGGCTGCTGAGATATGAGCCTCTCAAAATCACTACTTTTGCAAAACAGCTTGAACACCCTTGACTTTTCACGTGGCACGTGCCACGACGGTCACTGAGATGTATCAAAAGTAGTCAATTACGGGGTAGAAGGGATGGGGCTACCCAACAAAAAAGACCGCAGGCCAATCGGTCCAGCGGTTGCTGAGATATAAGCCTCTCAAAAGCGTTACAGGCCGGGCCGGGCCGGGCCGGGCCGGGCCGGGCCGGGCCGGGCCGCTCATACTGAGATTTTTCCGTTATATTGAAAAGACTCACTTCGCTCGCTGCGCTCGCTCGCTCGTAATAAATTATCACCGCCCTTTTCTCGTTCTCTTGATAGTTAAAGTCTCGAAAAAGTTACCTGAAGAACGGTTAGGATAAGAAATCAGCTTCACTTCATCAACTGCGAGATATTCGATATTTCCTGAAAAGGTACATACATGAATGGAGTGCAGAAATGATAGTTGATTATGCTTAATCGGCGCTTTTAATCGCACATTATGAAATGTCTGTTAGTGGAGGGGCCCAACCAGCACAGCGCATTCCCGTCAACGGGTACATGGTACAAAGTCTACTATCTATCCTCTTGTCATGATGACATACAACGCTAAACTACTTGCCAGTGATTTCATTTTCTAAGTAAAAGAAATCGAAGAAGATTTTAGGCGATGGTGGCGTAGTTTTGGCGGCACGCGACACGACATTGCACAGACGTAGGCTGGGCGGCGGCAGCGCGGGCGGCCTGGTGGGGCCAGGTGGCACCGACCTGCCGCCCGCCGCCCCGACACACACGGGGGCCAGTCACAAACCAACTCCGGCCCGCCGGCCGCCGGTCGGCCGGGCCGCATGCACCAGCGCGCTTACTTTTCCTTAGAAGATGAAATCAACCAGCAAATATAGGGCAATGCCCACTACGCAGGCCACTTCAAGCGCCTGAAATTACAACGGAATTCCTAGCTGAGGCGGCGCTTTGGGTATGAGAGAGTCAGTGCCGCACTACACTGGCTTGCTGGAACGCAGGTGGCACCGTCATCACTGTTCACTATAGAGGTCGTGGCGTCCTAAGGTTCTGCCTAGAACGTGAGGCTGCACCGTCGTCTGTGATTGGTACAGGCTCCGGCAAGGTGCGCGAACAATGACAACAAACTGGCTCTTGTGTGCTTCATACATCAGCTTAGCTTGATCCCAAAAGGGGAGGTATTCGTAATCCAGATTTGAAATTAAATAGCGTCTTGTGAGCTCCAACACCCGAAATGACATTTTTGTAGACAGTTTGTTGTCATGATCCACTCGTATGCCAGGAATGGTGGGAATCGATCAATACTGTGCACATGTCGACTGTAATACGATACACAGTGGGTGGCGCTGGGCCACCGGGTCCGATGTGGTGCCTACATCGGTTTCCTGGTCTTACGTCGTCGGAAGGTCGGCGCCGGACCGCGCGCTCGGCCGGCGCGCCGTCCTCCGAGCCGGACCCCTCCGACTCCTCCGAGGACTCCTCCTCGGCCGACTCCGACTCCGACTCCTCCTCCCCTGAGTCACCCCTCCCGGCCTCCCGCGGGGCCCTGCGCGACTCCCCGCGTTCTGCCGGGGCCCGCGAGCTCGTCCCGCGCCCGGCGTCGTCATCCCGGTCCCAAAAGGAAACTGGAGCCCTTCCGCCATCGTCATCATCCCAGAAAGAAGTTTTCTTCCCGCTGTCCTCATCTCTTTCCCAGAATGACGGCGTGTTCTTCTGTTCCTGGTCAGTTCCATTGTTATCCCAGAACGAGTTCGCTCCATTTCTGTCGTCATTGTCATCTCCCCAGAAGGGGGTGCCTCCCGCCTCCCCGCCCGTGTCCCGAGGTCTGTCAGACGTCTCTGTGGTTCCCATCCCGTCCTCCCCGGGGTGGCGGTCCCAGGAGGAGTCCTGGGGAGCGGCGGGGTCCGACTCGGGGTCGGCATCCACAGCGGCGGCCTCCCCTCTGCGGGCTGGCAGACCCTACACAACAGACACAGGTGCTGACTGGACCGGCAGACCCTACACAACAGACACAGGTGCTGACCGTACCGACAGACCCTACACAACAGACACAGGTGCTGACCGTACCGACAGACCCTACACAACAGACACAGGTGCTGACTGGACAGACCCTACTGCTGACCGGAGCGGCAGACCCTACACAACAGACACAGGTGCTGACTGGACCGGCAGACCGTACAGAACAGACACAGGTGCTGACTGGACCGGCAGACCAGACACAGGTGCTGACTGGACAGACCCCACACAACAGACACAGGTGCTGACTGGACCGGCAGACCGTACACAACAAACACAGGTGCTGACTGGACAGACCCTACACAGCAAACACAGGTGCTGACGGGACCGGCAGACCCTACACAACAGACACAGGTGCTGACCGGACAGACCCTACACAACAAACACAGGTGCGGGCTGGCAGACCCTACACAACA